GGAAGGCAAAGGAAGGGAAAAGGAAGGGAAAGGAAGGGAAAAGGAAGGGAAAAGGAAGGGAAAAGGAAGGGAAAAGGAAGGGAAAAGGAAGGGAAAAGGAAGGGAAAAGGAAGGGAAAAGGAAGGGAAAAGGAAGGGAAAAGAAAGAGAAAAGGAAGGGAAAAGGAAGGGAAAAGGAAGGGAAAAGGAAGGGAAAAGGAAGGGAAAAGGAAGGGAAAAGAAAGAGAAAAGGAAGGGAAAAGGAAGGGAAAAGAAAGAGAAAAGGAAGGGAAAAGGAAGAGAAGAGGAAGGGAAAGGAAGGGAAAAGGAAGGGAAAGGAAGGGAAAGGAAGGGAAAAGGAAGGGAAAAGGAAGGGAAAAGGAAGGGAAAAGGAAGGGAAAAGAAAGAGAAAAGGAAGGGAAAACGAAGGGAAAAGGAAGGGAAAAGGAAGGGAAAAGAAAGAGAAAAGGAAGGGAAAAGGAAGAGAAGAGGAAGGGAAAGGAAGGGAAAAGGAAGGGAAAGGAAGGGAAAGGAAGGGAAAAGGAAGGGAAAAGGAAGGGAAAGGAAGGGAAAAGGAAGAGAAAAAGAAGGGAAAGGAAGGGAAAAGGAAGGGAAAGGAAGGGAAAGGAAGGGAAAAGGTAGGGAAATAGAAGGGAAAAGGAAGAGAAAAGGAAGGGAAAAGGAAGAGAAAAGGAAGGGAAAAGGAAGAGAAAAGGAAGGGAAAAGGAAGAGAAATGGAAGAGAAAAGGAAGGGAAAGGAGGCGAAAAGGAAGGGAAAAGGAAGAGAAAAGGAAAGAGAAAAGGAAGGGAAAAGGAAGGGAAAAGGAAGGGAAGAGCTAGCAAGGGGGGATGAAGATTAAAATCAATCAAGGAAAAGAAAGAAGAAATAGAGGTAAACAATTTAAACCAAAGTGACAAATACTGCAGCTACAGTACCTTAATTTGTGTTTCTCTTTCTTTTCCTGTCAAATCACACTGAGTACCATTCACATAATACTGGGAATGATATTTTTTAGCCGCTGAACTTTTTCCTGGTTTTGGTTTTTCCTGGAGGAAAAAAGAGAGAAAGCACTTAGTCTTACACATGCTGACTTGCATACCATGGAACCTTCTAGAACAGACTGTTTGGAACGCTATACCGAGAGAGGGAGCCACTGTGAAAGATTGTTCATTTCAAGGAACTTTGGAGACAAGTGTGGGTTTGTGTCAGTGGTGAGCTAAGGCGTAATCTATAGAGGACCTATTGAGGATAATCATTTATTGTCTATTGTAGTCACTCCTAAATAAGAATAATTGTTTAATAAAGTAGCTGTCCAAGTTTGTGGGATTGTACTGTCTGTTAAAATATACCATAACAATGTACTTCTGTGCATCATGCTCTAATTTTAAACCATTAACACCAAGATAGAAAAAACAAAGAATTGCTACTTACATGGTCAAAAATACAGATTGCCAGATTAGCCACTTTTTATTTAAATTTCAAATGAAAACTTTTTTTTTACATGCAAAGGGAACCATAACAATGGCCCCTTGGAGTGCTATATTAAAGCTGTAATTAGAAGCAGATTTAAAGACTGGCCAAACATTTGTAAATGGAGATTGAACAGAGTTGTTAACCAATTCATTCAACATCCATAAAAGTTTTTACCTTTCTAAGGTATATTTTCTCCTGACTCCAATCAGTCTCATTACTAAATACTCCCAAGGAAATTTTATCACCAACAACCTTATTTGCTGAAATGGAGAAACACCTATTTGGTTAGAAAATATTGATATGCTTGACAATCCTTCTTTATCAAGAGGTTTATGTTCAGAGGAGATTTTCAAGAATGCATGCAACAACACCACTCCATCACATTCCAACTCCTGTTGGAATGATAAAAAAGTTCACTGAAGGGATGTATTAAGTGACTTTCAATACAAAATAAACTTCTCCTGTGTTTCTTAAAGGAACACAGACCAATTTCAAAGGAAAATCTAGCAGTACACATATCAGAGGTCACTTGAGGCTTTTTATCAGGCATCCCTTAAAGTTTATAAGGTTGGATTTGATAAGTGTTGCAGTTTTGATTTATTCAAGCCATCTCAATGTGTGATGTTTCAGAGGCTGAAATCCTTGGCCTTGCAAACATTGTGATAATCTTGTGACATTATAATATCACCCTCCTTTTCCAGGAAAAGGTGTTAAGAAAATGAAAAGGTCATACTTTTTGATGAATATAAAATAATTAATACAAGTACTACTTAAAATAAGCAAATTCGACCCAAAATCAATAAACAAAATAAATGAAACATGTACACATGTAAGCTGCCTGGTGCTCATTCTGACCTTCCATGTGATACTGGTAAATTCCTTTTCCAAAACATACTTCATATGTCCACCATCCTTTATTCTATAAAAAAAAAAGGGAAGCATACACACATTTACAAGTAAGTTACAATTAATACATGTACTTAAAACTTTAACTCCCACAAGTGACTAACATCTAACTTCTCCATATTATATCTGTATGTTTCCAGCAAACGGTTAATGAGAATACTCAGAGTCAACAGGTAGAAGTTGTCATCTTGATCTTACACCAAAGTCTTGTAGCTAATTTACAAGGAATTGTATAGCAGCTCGTAGGGAAAATTAATAATCAGATCTTAGGGGTTAAAGGGTTAAATTCATGATTAACAAAATTATTGATTTTCTTTTCAACACAAATAAAGAATGATTCACCTCCTTTAATTTCTAATACAAATACAAAATCTTCATTTAAATTACTGTCCTTCTCATTCAACACAATTGAATTTTGGAGGATATTATGAGAAAATAATTACTTTGACTGATATTAGCTTTCCACAATTTAATATTTAATTTTATCAGTACTTCCTGATTAACTTTAAATATTCAACTATTTCCTGAAATGGCTTCAAGTTATCTGACATGAACAAACAACTAATCAGAGAAACATGGATCTAAATTTCTAAGAAGCCAAGCCCTATTTTTTACATTTCTAGTTATACATTGTCATCCATTAAAAATTTTCTTGTGAAATTTCTGACCAACCACGTCTAAACTCAAATCAGCCTTGTACACAGATTGTCAACTTAAGTACTCTCTCAATTAATGTATGTATGTAAGTATTTGCGATATTTAGACAGGCTGGCCAAGTTCAGCTTGAAGCTGGTTAAATGGAGGCCTGTATAAACAATGACAAGGCCAGACTACAACACTGGCAACTACATTGCCTTCTCTTGCAAGAAGAGCATGAGCTCTTTAATTTCCCCTGCTAACCAGTACAGAGTAGAGGCAGGAGATGGGGCCTACAGCTTATAGTCCTTATCCCAGAAGACTAGAATGTCTAATCTTTTGCTGACTGCAAAGTAAAGGCAGCACATTCTCTTAGTTATTTTAACACCCAGAGTGTTGGTCTGGTATGAGGCTTGAGCCTGTAATGTCCCACACGGCAGTACCGTGCTCTAAAATTTGAGCTTATCAAGGCCAGAAACCTGGCAATTTTAATAAAAGCCTGATACCTGCAATCTACAACCACTCATAAGACCTCAAGTAAGCCCTTGTGCTTGGGATTCACCTTACGGCACAGCCACCTACCACACCATCTGAAGCTATTATGGAAAAAGTTACTGAAATTCTTGTAAACTGTTTTCTAATTACAATTATTACACCAGATGGCTTCTCTATCCTAATGTACAAATAGCTTCAAGAAGGCATATAAGCACTTACATTATACAAACACTTTTTCTTTATTGGTTCTAGAAGCTGAGGAATTTCATCTTTAGATATATGTTGGATATCCTCATCCTTTTTATCTAAATTCTCAAGCTGTGGTAGAACACACTGATATTGCTGTCCATGCTTGGATGATAATAACACTGTATTTCCAAGTTCTGAACTCTGAAATAGATGTGACATTATTTACAACATTATTTTCTAACCTACAAAAACAATAGATACTGTTTTTTCCAGAGAAGCGGACATGTATTGTGTGAATGATGAAAATTCACATGTGGATGCAAATTTTATCTTCAAGTGTTGACAATATTACTCACAAAAGAAAAAAGCAAATGGGAATAAATTCATAATCACATTACACAGGCTGGGCAGTGATCAGTTTATTAATAGATATTAACAAAATATTCAAATCAAAGACAAACTTATGCTGATTTCCTTAACTCTTTAACTCCCAGAAGTGATTAACAGGTAACTTCTCCCTATAATATTCATACATTATCGTGCAAACGGGTAATGAGAATACTCAAACATATCAGGTACAAGTTGTTACCTTAATATAAAACCCACTTCTTGTTACTAACTTACAAGGAAATGTGTAGCAGCTAGAGGGTTGAATTAACAATCAGATTTTAGGAGTAAAAGGGTACCCAAACTTAGAACGTTCACTATTGCGATGATACGATGAAATCCTGATCAATTTTTGTGATAGAGATATTGTTAGCTCTGCACCAATCGCAAGAACCCAAGTGTTAACTTTAATTAAAAGTAAGAGAATGCATAAATTATCTTTAAGTACAAGGATCTGCTAATCCAGATCACAATGAAAAAAACTGTAATGATAATCAAAACATCTTAAATGAAAAATTGGAATCCGCTTAATAATAAAATCTTCCGACGTCTCTCCATCTGCAGCTGCGGGTGCCCGCTCCTTGTTCGAAGCAGCTTATCAAAGCAAAATAAATTGACAAACGTTGCGTTACACCATTGGCGGATAGAAAATTCTCTGAAAGCTTACCTCTTTCAAGAGAACTGGCTCCTTAGAAATCTGAAATCCATACTTAACACCATATATTTCCTCCACGTTGAAGTTTGAATCCACTAAAGTGAAACAAACACCTAAAATGTTAAAAATAAACAACTCGCCGGATAGTTTCCCTCTGATCACCATTTTGTTGTTTAAAGTCCCGTCGAGACACCTGGGAAAAAAAAGAAAACCTAACTTGGTAGCCTGGCAGAGTTTAGCTTGGTAGCCAAGCTTGGGGCTTAGTAACCAACTCAATCAAACATGGCGGACAAACGTCTTCGTGTTCTTCTTCACCCAACTTCGCTTCGACAACACGTTCAGCAGTGGTTAGCTGAAGATACGCCAAGCTTTGATTATGGAGGTTTCGTTGTGGGAGAAAGTGAAGAAACAGCAGTATTGTTGTGCAAATCTAGGGGTATTTTAGCGGGAGTTCCTTTCTTCGACGCAATATTCCGTGAGTTGGGGTGCAAGGTGGAGTGGGTGTTCTCCGAAGGGGTGCAAGTTGAACCCACGACCACGGTGGCAAAGGTAACTGGGAGAGTTAACAAGATTCTTCTGGGAGAAAGAGTGGCCTTAAATTGTATTACAAGAGCGAGTGGAATTGCGACGAAGGCTAAGAGTTTGGTGAAACTTAAGGAAGACCATAACTGGCACGGAGAAATAGCGGGAACTCGGAAAACTACCCCGGGTTTTCGAATCGTAGAAAAGTACGCACTTTTGGTCGGTGGTGTTTCCACCCATCGATATGATCTATCCTCCATGATCATGCTCAAAGATAATCACATTTGGACTGCTGGGAGCGTCACACGTGCCGTACAAGACGCAAGAAAGGTGGGAGGTTTCTCAATCAAAATTGAAGTGGAATGTCGAAGCATCGAGGAGGCAAGAGAAGCTGCCAGTGCAGAAGCTGATGTTGTTATGCTGGATAACTTTGAGCCTAAGGCTCTCCACAGAGCAGCTGAGGTCCTGAAGAAAGAATTCCCGCATTTACTGATTGAGGGAAGTGGAGGCGTTACAATAGAGAACATCGCGCAATATTTTGGACCGCATGTTGATGTAATTTCAATGGGGTCTCTAACACAAGGTTATGGTACAGTCAATTTTTCTCTGAAAATTCTGAAGGAAGGACATGATCCGCACAATCCACTTGTCAAAACTTTCTAATCGTTAGTAAGATGATGGCTACTCTATGTTCATCAGTTTGAATGTAGCGTACCTTGACAACTTACAATTTGTTAAATAATGAAAAGGATTTTCTTTTAAATAAGACACTGATGTATTTGATTATTTTGATCAACAGGTTACAAAGAACTTTTAAACCGAAAATTACATTTCGTCCGTTGCATTTCTGCTTCCTTGGAAGAAGTAAGCGCATCGTTTACAACACAAAGAAGGATTTTTCTAAGCTACGGAATAATAAATATTGCTCTGCTTAAGTAATGTTTACAAACGAAAAAGAAATCGTCACTTAGAGAATCAGTTTAAATTAGCAACTTTCAATTTGGTCCTTTGCAGGTTTTTGAAGACTAGGGGAAGTCGGGGTCGTGCTCCTCCTCACATTCCTTGGGGCATTTTTTAGTCCGGAGGTTTTGCCCTTTTGTGGGATGTGGGGAAGTGTCGTAGGGAGGGAATCAAGTAATCCCTTATAGATGTGTCCGTCCTGTCCTAAGATATCCACCGGTTGAAAATCTTTCTGCGGGACGAGGAAGTCCAAGTCGTCCTTGTTAAGCTGAAGTCCACGAACAACCGACTGACTATGGGGATAGGTGAGGGTATGGACTCCTCCACAGGCTCTTGCAGTGGCCTCGGCCAATTCTTGTAGATCGTGAACACCACTAATGATAAAAACAAAGTAGAAGAATTATGACTGTTACGTTTTTCTTCAGTCAGTTTTGAAATATGTTTTACCCTGTCGTCATATTTGTCTACAACAAAAACCCTCCTAATGAAAATAAAGGATGTGAGGTAAATCAAGTCCCCTGATCAAAATTGTCGGACGTGACCAGTCTGTCCCAGTGTCTGGCGTTTGAAACCTGTATAAGTCTTTTTCCAAATAGTAAGTTTTTTTTCGTGAACCACCTCACTCTGAAACGAAATCCCAGAGAAATATTGCATCAGTATAGTTGTTTAGGTGGCCATCAGGACTTACTGCTAAGAGGTTTATTAAATCAGCATTGTTGCGCCTCCTATGCAGCCGTTGTTTGGCCACGTAACGCAAGGCGTTTTCAGATGACGTGTTGCGTGACCATGTAAGGTGCAGATAACGTGTTGCGTGACCAGACCAATCAACAGTTGCGCAGGAAAATAGTATTTTAGTTCCTTTCTGTAAGTATGTCTGTAATCCATTCATTAGATAGATATCATAAGGTGGTAAAAGTATTTGTAATAAACTTTTTGGGTAATCTCATGCTTAAAATTTCACGGTAGGGTTAGATGGAAAGGGAGCACCAACCTAAGTCGTAACATTTCTTTCTGTAACTTGCTGCGTTGCTTCTCCAGCAGTTCAAACCTTTCCTTCGTCATCGACAGTCCTCCTGGGAGCATGTGCTGTCGGATCTGTTCCAGCTCGAAAGTGGTGTAGGGACGGGTCGACTTCGATCCCGGCATGCAGCGTATGGTTGGTAGAGGGGGAAAAGGCTCCTCTCTCGCGTATTTAACAGGGCGGTCACATGATATACAGTTGTGATCCACTAGGAACCGCTTTCGGATCCCTGCTGCCAATTCTTCTGGGGGCGGTCTTTCCACCGGTTTTGGTTTCATAAATTCCATTCGAGACTCCAGGTAACGCTTCAAGGGTTCAACTTCTTCTTTGTCGAGTTTCTTGCCCACGTCTGAGTGGATTGCTTCTATGGCTAATTTCAGCGCGTTTTCCTAAATGGGAAAGATAACGCTCATCTTTCTATTCCTCTTAACTCGAATCAAGTGCATAGCTAAATGACTCATGGACTGACTGACCGACTGACCGACCGACCGACCGACCAACCGATCCATGACAGACAGTCAGTCAGACGGTCATTCAGTCAGTCATTCAGTCAGTCAGACTTACCGACTGACTGACTGGCCAACTGACTAAATGACTGGCCCGCTTAATGACTGGATGAATAACTGGGTGATTTACCCACGCTCAACACATCCAATGTCTGGATGACTGACTTATGAACTGATTGGAAGACTCACTGACTGACCGACCAATTGATTAACTAACCGACCAACTGATTAACTAATCAACCGACTGATTGACCGACCGACTAACCAGCTGACCAACTGACGAACTGACTGACTAACTGACCAGCTGACCAACTGACTGACTGACTGACTGACCAGCTGACCAACTGACCGATCGACTGATCAACTGACTGACTGACTGACCAACTGATTGACCAACCAGCTGACCAACTAACCGACTGAGTGACTGACTAACTAACTAACCGGCTGACCAACTGACCATCTGTCCAACTGACCATCTGACCAACTGACCATCTGACCAACTGACCATCTGACCAACTGACCATCTGTCCAACTGACCATCTGACCAACTGACCATCTGACTGATTGACTAACTTACTAACTGACTGACCAGCTGACCGACCAACTGACCGACTGACTGACTAGCTGACCAACTGAGTGATTGACTGACCAACCGATTTGCTGACGGACGTATCAACCCATTAACTGATAGCAGGACCAATTTACCGAGTGACTGGCTGACTGACTAAACATGTTAAATCAGAAAAAAATATATGGTAATACAAGACTAGCGCGGTATTGATAGCATAAACCCCGACAAACAGGAACACCAAACTTCAACACCATTCTGATCCCGGCTTTTTCCACAAGATTGCATATCGACAAGCCTTCCTTACCGGGATGCCTGTTTGCTTACAATAGGTCTGACCAAACGAAATATTACATTAAACTTACGTGGCCTTCTAATCTTTGCAGCAAATCTCTTAAGGACTGATCAACAAGACCTATGCAGTGCTCAAAGTCTTCCCTTCCAATCTTGGTTTCCACGTCTTTTTTATCAGCTTTCAGCTCAAATCCCATGTTAAGCAGTTCTTTGTCGACTTTCACGTCTCTCAGTTCGTCAACAATGTTATAAAGGTCGTCCAAATGCCTCTGTTTCCTGTAAAGCTCGTCATTCAATCGGATGTCGGTCTGTTTTAGTTTTTCTTTTTCTTCTTGTAACTCAGATATCATGGTACGGATCAAACTCAGTTCTTGTCGATCGACGCTGTACGCGCGGCGCCTGTACGTCGAAGTTTCCGACTTGTGTTCTCTTTCTTCCTCTAAAACAAAATAAAAAATCGAAAGTTTTTATGAGATTTAGCACACTATTGTAATTATTCTCGACGAACTCAATTTTCAACTCGCCTTCAGCGAATAATTATGCAGTGTACATCATAATCCGGCACGTAGAGGATGTGTTTAATGTTAGTTATAAAATGTTCAGAGAAATGCACGCGCCGTGATTGGTCAGAACGAGTCATTATTCATTATGCTGCGCCCAAAGTATGGAATCGACTCCCTTTAGAAATTAGACAATGTCAATCATTGAACATTTTTAAAGTTTTACTAAAGACACATCTTTTTAAATTAGCTTTTTATTAGTTCTTTTATTAACTCATATTCTACTTTTATTGTTTTCCGAAAATTGTAAATTATTATTATCATTATCATTATTTGGACTAGCCATTTATTACTTTAAGATTTTAGTGTTATAATGCGCACTCGATCATATCTTTATCGCATGCTAGACTGAGCAATATAGGAAATGAACATTATTATTATTATTATTATATTTCCATAAAGCACGCGCCTTACGTCACACGAGTGCACTGTTGAGATATAATGCACGCAGCCTACGTCATCGGTACGAGCGCGCGCAATTCGCGATACATTTTATAGATAATGGTAATTGAACTGAGTGGAGTGCAATTTGGGCTGAAATAATACGCGTGATTTCAAAATCGGTCGAGCGTGCAGCGCAAGTTCGATTTGAAATCACAAATATGATTTCCGACCAAAATTGCACGACACGAGGTTCATTTACCACTTTATTACATCCATTTTGAAATCGTCCAAATACAGGACTTGGTCACTTCAAATATTTTATTGATGCAGTACTGAGCTGGTTTGAAATTAAATTTATCCATTTTTTGAGGGGGAAAAGTAAGAGTTTTGGAAACCAAAGAAGCAAAATTTGCCATACGATACTCTTTGTCTATCATTTTCCTGCAATTTGACTGGTTACTTTAAACAAGCCTTGAAATCTGACTGGTTGTTTTGTTTTTAGTGTGGCCTGCTCACTTACTGGGAAAAAGATGTGATTTAAAGCAAAAATGGTGTGATTCATGAATAAATCGCACCAATTAGAGCCAATCAGATTACAGGTACCACTTTACATGGGTGTAATAAAAGAAATAACAAAACTTGTTCCTCGAGTATTGTTGCGTTATATAAGCACGTGGGAATTTTTAAGAACACTCGAGAAGTGCGAGAAGCACTTGGCTTCGGCTCGTGCTTCTCCGCACTTCTCGAGTGTTCTTAAAAATTCCCAAGTGCTTATAGAACTTAATAATGCACTCGGCGCGCTTTTTATTTCTTTAACATCATGGCAATAACGTAGAGGACACTGTCGTTGACTTTCGTGCTGCAATAAGTGTGAAAACAGACTTAACTTCTTAGAGTAGAACGAAACTGTCAGCAAATGATGTTTTTCAAGGGTGTGCACGGCTAACTGAATATTTTGCACCCTAACTGTTTTAAACTTCCTGAAATGCAGGCATTTTTATAACCTAATATAATAGATATATCTTATGCAATGCAATGACTGTTACTGACTGGCTCAACACAATCATTATCCAGAGTTTAAATAAGGGATGAGGGGTGCGGGGCTACATGATTCCCTTTGATGTCGATAAGTTTTCATTTGGACTTAACAAGCTTGATATGGTCTGTTATTGTAATAAATCAACTCAACAGGAGCCCTCTATACGCTCAGGCTGTGCAGGAGATTTGTCCTCACCTTTCTCTTTGTCCGCAGCCTCTACATTCGCCCGCTCAGTGTTTTCACGTTTCATCAACGTCATCGAGTTGCTTAACTGGTGAATCTGCATTTCGTTGTCTTTAATTTGTGATTTGTGATTTTTTAACTCTTCACCCAAAGTTTCTTGTTTGGTTTTGATTTCGTTGATTTCCTCACCACACGCTTCAAGTTTAGTCAGGGTGTCTGCTGCAGCCTCTTCAGCTCCACTTAACTTGGAACTCACTCCATCCAGTTTACCTTCTACTTTTTCAATGTGAACCTTCAATCCCTGAAGCTGTTTTTCATGAGCGTCAAGCATTTCCTGCCCCTTGGGATCTGTTACTTGTGAGTGATCTTTCACATTTTCAGTAATCTCAGCAAAGGCTTCTTTCAAGTTTGCCAGCACACTTTCAAATCCATCCATTCTTTGCTCAGTATTTTCCAGACTTGATATCGTGTCCCCTTCCTTTTCCCCTTCCTCTTTTCCTGCTTTATCCTCTTTCATTGCATTCAGAGATTTCCGCAGTTCCTCCATATCAGAGCGCAGATCACTTGAGGTCTTATGGACTTTGGGCAAAGATTCTTTCAGTTCATTCAGATCAGACGCTAAGGCATCTACCATTTCTGTTAAGCCCTCCAGAGAACTTTCTGACGCCTCAAGCGTCCGCTTTATGTTGACCAACTCCACAAAGTCATGAGCGGGTGTCTTGCTCTCCTTCCTCACTAAGGAAGCCACCGATATAACGGGATCAGGAACAGCGGGAAGGGGGTGTGACTCAAGAAATTCTACACGTCCTTGGAGTTCTGAAACCCTCCTTTTTAGGCTGTTCAGCGAATCTGATCCTCCAGGTGAGAAAACGGAGCTTCGGGTTAAGGGCGGTTGATCTTTAACTGGAAGATCTTCTGATTTAGGAGGAGCAATGCTCAATTCTCCTTCTGTAATCGATGCATCCAATTTACTTTCTTCTGTGGGATCAGTTTCCACACTCGTCAACTGTTCTCCTTCCCTCTGCTCCGCATCTAAGGCTGATGGAGGAGGAGACTCTTGTTCTTGCTCTGTATTGCTTTGAAATGGAGTCGTGGATTCGGCTTCAGGTCCCACCATCATTTCAGGAGTTTCTTCGACTTGAAAGACTTCGAGTGATCTTTTTTCTAGACTGGTAACATCGGCAAACCCATCCTTGATAAAGTCAATAGCACTTTTGTGTTCCTCTCCTAGTGTGTCAATGTCGATAGCTTTGTTTTCAATGCCAAGATGCCGTAGTATTTCTTGAAGAAACATGCGCAAAATGTTAAAATTTACGGTCCCCACCTCTGGCGAGGAGAGTGCAAAGTTCAAGAGCTTTTCTAACTCGATAAAAGAAGGCATGTTTATGCTCTTTAGATGACAGTTTTTCCAACGCAAGCTCTCTTCCTTTGGATTAACTTTGAGGTGTATTGCGTTCAGCTAATTAATTACGTGATAAATGCCAATTTGCGCGCGCTGATAAAGAATTACGTTAAGCGTAATGCAGCACTCTTCTGACATAGCTAAATGAAGAACAGACAAGCTCCAGTGCGTGGTTTTCGTCAGGGGAGAGATCGTTTCGCTATTGTATAGGACAAACATACCGTGCACTACACACGATGGCCAAGATTTTAGATCTGTGGTTTTTTAATTATGGCCTCTCAGCAGAATCTCCGGTTTTAGAAGGAATAAGCCACAGCTGGTTGTTTTCATTTTGAACCGCTCAAAACTATGCCAGAGCTTTTTTTTTTAATTTTTTTTTTTTACGTCAGTTGGGGGAGTCATCAACCCAAAAATGTTGATCTAGAAGCAAAATAGGATTCATTCACCGTGTCTGCATTCCCTATCGAAAATATTCCAAGTCCCTTGGCTTGATCGCTTCAATAAATCTTTGTAGACGATTGAAAAATCGTTGATCCATTTTATGACCTGACCACGCAAACACTCACTGAAGAGACCCCAAAAATGGGATGTATCATAATTGCTAGCATTTTAGAGATTCTTTATAAGACATGGTACACTTTACTAAGACGCTATTTCGTAGTTAAGGGAGGTTTTTTAAAAGCTTTTCTTAAGCTTAAAAGCTTAGTAACGAGATTTTTTGTAACATTCGACGAGCGCTGGCCTTTAGGAGAATCCAAAAACAGTAGGCTTTTTTTTTGTTGCCACTTCAAAATGGCTGGTTGAGAAATTGTCCCATTTGCAGAAATATCTGAGAATAAGTGTTTGAAAACTCTAAATTTTCTCGTTCTACAAAATTGTAGCAGGAGGTTGTACACCGATGTACAAACGATTTCCGTATTCCGATACGCAAGAGGTATTTTGAATACACAACTGCCCTGACTCACAAGGCGACTTGACAAAAGAGAGCAGGTTGTTATATTCCAACACAATCGTTAGTGACGAATACAAAATAAATTTATATTTTCCTCAGGAATCGATAAAAAACGAGACAGGACTTGATGAAAACTAAGACTGGACTGAACTTTATTTCAAACAACAATCACTTCCACAGCCGAGCAAGTATAAAAAAACTCACATCTCCTCATTACTTCCCTCGGTTGTAGAGCGGGTGAGCTAATCAACGACAAATATGAAGAAAGCCGATTGAAAGAAACACCCACATAATGTGAAATGACTGCTCTCCTCAGAAAAAACTGTATTTTTCTACACCTGGTAATTTCAAGGCGTGGAAAACCGTCAAAAAAAGGTCAAGATGTCTTTTATTGCCTCAGAAAGGAAGATATTCACTTGACTTGTAGGGCACAAATCGGCCGACCTTATTTAGAAAATGCAAAGAACATTGTCACCTTGAAATACTTGTGACCTGGTCGTTGCTTACCTTACGGAATAATAACTTGTGATGATATCGTAAGAAAAGTTTTTTTAAGGCCTGTCAACAAATTTTAAGAACGTGGTCTTTATAGTTCCTAAATACACAATAAACATTGCATTTTCAGAAAGTTAAGCGATGATCACATTTGTGATTACGCGTGTTAGAAGTAAAATATTCGATCTTTCAAACCAGGATAACAATTACAATTCATGAGGACAAAACACTACCCGTGTAATAATTAATAAATTATGTAAGGCGACGGTTCATATAGTTACTCCTCGAAGCTTTCCGGAAATTTTCATTAAGCTTTGCAGGAGACGGTCAAGGAGCAACGACATATAGAAAAGGTGCAATATATTCAATCTTCTTTTGAGTCATCTGTGCAATACATTTATGGTATGGGTTTTGTGTCCCGGCGACACTTAGATCCTGTTTCATCCCTTTAGCAAATCATAACGCTCGAGCTGTGATATAGGCTATCGTGTTTTTGTTTTCAAATCTTTAAACCAAGCTTGCATTTCAGTTAAAACTCGAGAAGAGAATTCAAAACTATCCTTTCAGGTCTTGCCATTTAAGTCTGAGAAAGAAAATAAGAAGCGCGGGAAGCTTTTCTTTTAAGTATTTTCCTTAGCTATTTTAATGCTTTTACAGGTTATCATGAAGGGATCGCTACTGTTAATCGCTTGCCTGTTGGCTCTGACACTGATGACTGTTGAAGGAAAATCTGTCTTGAAACAGAAAGAGGAACCAAACGACAAGGAAACAGAAACGGAAGGAGATAGCGAAGACAAGGAAGTGGAAGATTCTTCTGCGTCCGGAAGTGGATCGGGTAAATACTTAGATCAGGGGAATTTATTTCACTCCTCGTCGCATATGTGCTTGTCGATTGTATTTGCAAATATTAAACCAGCTCGTCAGCCAGTGCTGACTCAGCAGAAAGGTGGTTAAGACTCGAAACAAACGCAAAGGAAGTTAAGGCGATAATTTTTAAGGGTGACCAAGTTGTTATCCATTGCAATCAAAGTCGTTCATGTAGAACCAAACACATGCTACAAACAACTTATACGTCTGGAAGAAAATAAAAAAAATAAGAACAAAAAAATCAGCCCCAGAATGATAGCATCATCAAGAACATTTAAACGTCTAGAATTTATTTTTAAAAATTCGATTTCCGGCTGGACTTTTATCGAATCAGTGAACGATGAATAATTAAATGAGATCAAATTTACGTCATGCTGGTAGTGAAATCAAAGAGATTACTGGTGTGGGAATTGTTAAAAAGTTGCTTAACCCACGGGGAATACAATGTCAGCTACCAACAGCTTTTGAAAAAGTGCTATACCAACAAAAAAACTAAACCTCGTATCGCATTTCAACTTTTTAAATGATCGGTATGCGCGGTAGAAGATCTTCCTTGTAGACCACGTTTCAGCCATTGTTGAATAAGACCCGCTGAGTAGGTCTTTGGCATTTTTGGTTGTATGTGGCGATTGCATTGTACTTGTGTCTTTGTCTTTTGTTTTCTGCCTTCGAGTATTAATGCTAAGTGAGATATAAAACCTGTAAACCTTTTACCGATATCCTGGAAAGAAAACACGGCGCTATACTTTATGAAAATAACTTATACAAAATTTTTAGTGGATGTTATGATACATTTTGTCTGACCCACGATAAGTAAAGGAAATTGATATTGTGTCAAATTAATAGTTATCACATTTAATTTCAAATAACTGAAACAGATCCTATTTGTAAATTACTTGTGATAAAGTCTATCCGCATTAGATCCCTGTTTATTTATGGAATGTTAATTTATTTACCTAGCTATATATGTGGAATACTCAAAGAAGTAAGAGCGTAAATTCACCCCAACCCCTGCCAAAAAGAAATTAAAGAGCATGTACCCCCCCCCAGCAGAAATACAGGCTATTCATCAATTAAATAGGTAGACTCAGAAGGTGAAGTGATATTTTTGCAATTGGATTAAAGTTAGAAAGTACAAAACAGATTGAGGGTTTGAAAATATTGATGCGTCGACTTGATGAAGTGTGATACTAACAACGATAACTGAGCTGTGGAACCAGATAATCCCACTCATCGAAAACAAAACTTTGCCCGGCATGGAGTCAGGTAGATGGAGGATCGGAGGAACGCGTCTATACAAGAGGATGGAAGCTTCGTAAACGCTAAGCACTGAAAAAAAAGTTCTAAGCGGCTAACTATGACTCACAACGTTCGCTTACACAACTATGAAATTATCTATTCAGTTTGGGCATGACTCTTGTGCAAAACATTTCATCGATGTTTTTTTTTTTTACCATTTTGAAAAGGAAAAACATGCTTCAGATACCAGAAAACCATACAAGTGTTATTTCGATCATTAAATTAAAAGGTGTACATACATATTTATTATTACTTTTCCCGTTTTGAAAATCCGAAGATAAACCCAACCTTTCGAAAATTGTCTTCAAATGCGCTGAAAAATCCAACCATGAGAGCCGCCATTTTGAACTCAGTAACTTTTAAAGCTTCTAAATGTTTGGACAGATAGCCAAGAGTTGGTTTAAAGTCGGAGGTGAGACAATTGCTTTGGCGGCATCCGTGCCGAATTTTTTTAGAAAAATTTAAAGACAGTTTTCGACAAATAAAGTTACCCTTTGGAGAGTACTGCGATTTTCATGAATTTGAATATACTTTTTAATGGCGGAGATACTTGAAAATTGACATAGTTTCTGGAGCATTGATCAGTCTAAATTAACTTTAATATTTATTTCAACAGGAAAAGGAAAGGACTGTTACGGCCAAGGATGTGGAGGATACCCTTACCCACAGCAGCCACAATATCCATATCCTCAGCAGCCATACCCTCAGCAGCCATACCCTCAGCAGCCTTACCCCCCTCAGCAGCCCTACCCCCCTCAGCAGCCCTACCCATACCCCGCACCATATCCATCAAGCTCACCTTGTGGAACTCCCGGATGCATGAAATTTAAGAAGGGCAAGAAAGAGAGCTCGAAAGGAAAGAAAATCAGCGACGAAAAGAAGCACAAGAAGCATCATTAACTTGGATAACAGAAATTATTCGCACATTGATAATTTTTCGAGGAGAAAATATCTTAAACTCACATGTTGAGTACCTCAGGGAGCGCTCAAATGAGGCTTTTACATGTCCCAAACATTTCTGAGTATAGATTTTCTTCGGAGCTGAAAATAAATACTTGAAATAATCTTGAAACTGTACCAGATGTGTGTGTATTCTTTATTTTGTTCGTTCGAATTGATTATTCACTAATCGTGCGCTAGATGACTTTCATAACATTCATAATATTTACCAGAATTTCAATGGCGAGCTAATGATTATGCAACCATCTGTTTTTTGATGAGTGGGAGAGACTACGTACACAGCTGGGGTATTTCTGACAGACAACATATCGGATTTTCTTAAGGCTTCTTAACTAAAGTCAACAATTATTTCGCACGTCAACGTGAGTTCATCGAGATTTTAAGCACAAAAATTTGTTAATTCATAAACAACAGCTGGAATGATAAGGCCCCTCGGCCATTTGTTGCCAAGAGCAACACAGACGCATGGCTTTGGCAACCATCTGAGTCTTTCAAACTGTTTTTTACTCTGTACCAGATGCACGAGTTAAATTCTCAAATTCAAATTCCCTTTTTCCTCCTTTTTTCAGTAGAGCAAGGGATAAATGAACCCACGTACACAGAGAAATGCTGTGTACGCGATCAAAGATACCTGACTGCTGACTCTGATATGTGTGATCACAAGAATACACAACGATAGAGTAAAACTGCGACTTACGCCCTCAAGTATTCAAATAAAACCGTTCCTTGCGCTTATTTTTAGTTTTATATGCAAATTTTGTCGAATTTTAACGTTGAGGAGGCCTTCATGAGACTGACTATTGAATAATTATCTGGTAGGGAAGCTGAGAACAAATTAAAGAGTAAAATTGGACAAACACGGTGCAAATTTTGGGCGAGAAAAGTGTAAAGTAAGCCATGAAAACTCATTGCGTAATAACTAATTTCCAAGTATCCGCAAAAGTTAGGTAAGATGTCCATATCAAAGTGTAAATTGTCGATATTACGGCGTAAGTTGTCAATTTTACAGCGTATCCCGCTGTAACTGTAAATCATAAAAACAAACCTAATTTGCCTGTCAAAGGAGTTCTCCCTTTTGTATTAAAGATCAACACCAATGGTCGCTATTAAAAAGCGCCAATGCTAGTTTTGAAAAAGAGCCAATTTATCCTCAGCTACCAATGAGCTTCAGATCGAACGAGATGGATGAATGCTTTCATTAAAGTCTCAAAATTAAACCCTTATAAACAGCAGATGGTTTTTACGAAAACACTTGACGATGTAAATGCAAACCACCGCAGGGCTACAAATCATTTCATCTAGAATAAAACAGGCTTCTTCTTAACCGTCACAAACACTTTCCGGTGTTGAATCAAAGTGTCGTAGGACTATAAATAATTCTTCAGGACTTGATCAAACTCCCCATCAACCATTATAAACACACCATACTGCATACCAAACCACCGCAAGATTAGACATTAGGCTGAAGCAAGCTGCATAAGGCCATCGCAACTGGCACGTTGAAAGGACGAATACATTGATCGACCAGCAAGTGCTTCATGTCGTAAGTCGTACATTAAGCCACGCATAGTACCAAAGCATATGAAAATTGCGCTAGAAAAGGATATACCCTTGAAAAGAACAGTTACACTATTTGAGTTACACCATTTTTAAAACAAAGATCGGTCTCAAGAGATACGTAGTGCATGGTTTAAAATTTAGATTGTGAAAACCGACTCTCATGAAGATTATTCCCGACCTACTTCACTGCTGTGATGTCATACGAGCCCAGCATTTAACAAAAATGTTTAGCATTTGATGTCCTATAACACAGGGTCTAGAGAAATTTCAACTTTATAACTTTATAACTGAAATTGCAGTCGCTTTGAAGATAAATCCGATGAAAGATTTAAAAGACTTATTCTCTCCGGTGAACTCTAGGCAACTGTTGAAAGTTTCTCGCAAAATTTTCGCTCACGGGAAAGGCAGAAGACGAGAAACATTTATTTGTTATAACAAAGGTATATACCGAAGCACGATAAACGCTTATGTGTAAAAGTTAATATATCTTGGCATGAAGCGAATTACCACTTCTCACATTTCGTTGCAAGATCTTTCGAAAAGTACAAGCGAAAAAGGCGAAAAGAGCTCCTCCAATTTTTTCTATCCGAAAAGAAATTGAGTGGCAAGGAATATCAAGACCCTATTTGGAGCCTATGGCGACAAAAATCGTGATTGTTCCATAGCGATTACAACAAAGATTCCAACATTACGAGGTGACATTTTACTAAACATTTTCATCACATTCGAGAAACAAAAAACCATTTGCTACAATAATAATCAAACATCAGCCAATTATGACCAACTTTCGCCGACAATTTTACACGTCCGAGTCGCCCTAAAAAAACGGAATCCTAATTAGTTGCCATATTAGTCCTAGTTCCTTCTTTACTTTGCCCCCTCGAAGCAGGTGCAAACAGGATTTAGTCTAGAGAAAAAGTTTACAGAATTTATTCTACCCCAAGTACTTTCTTAAACACCAAAAGAGGCAGAGACTTGGGGGGAAATCTACGCTGCGGAAAGAAAAACACCGGCTCTCTAATAATGATCTTATGCATTTAATCTTTTTTACAGAAAGCTAGTTTGAGTATCAAACCCTAATCTGAATTTTAACAAACATATTATAAAACCGACCAATCGGGCTGAGAAGGGATGGCGCAGATGGCGAATTTGCATGCATAGTCCATATCCCCTTTCCCCCCCTCCCCCCCCCTGCGAGAATGTACAGGGTGAATGTTGACATATCACCTCGGCCACTCTTCCATTGAGTTCTCTAAACGCATTTGGAGAAGCATGCCGACCGATAATCGGAAAAACTGTCATGCGAAACTATGGCAGAACATTCAGGTCGTGTCAAATTCTGATAAGAATTCTACTTTTTTATTTCAAGCTCGGTTTTAATCATTTAAACTGATTGCTGCAACTGACGTGTAATATGTGATCGTTAATTCGTATAGTGTTTTCACTTTGTTAGAGTGAAACAATGACCGCCTCGGTTATTTAAACTATTTGAGAATGAGACCAGTTCAGTGGATTTCAAGTAGGTTTTGTTTGCAAGATTACTACACAAATAGAATGGTGCTTCTAAGTATGCTGTATAACAAAGCTAAGAGAAGCCAAATGAAAGAACCTGTTATTTGAAAATAGAATTTCCCCCAGTGAATGTTTGGATCCATCCGAGTTTCAGTAGTTAGATTACTTAAAAATTAACATGATAACCCCAGTATATACTTTAAAAAAAGTTACTGGCAACTAATCTTGTTCTCGCACTAGAGTGAAAAGTGCGCGCTTCGATTATTTATGCTTTTTGAAAATGGGGCCTTCTCTTAATTAGTGGACTTTGCAGAGCTTTGGGTTGTTAAGACACGAACACAAAAGATTTTGTATATACTGAGAAGATGAAAAGAGATTCGGAAAACTGGCAATTAAGTACTTAAGGACTGTCAAGTTTGACTGATTTCGATGGCTTGTTTTAGGCCGAAATTAAGTCCAACCTTTACAAGCCTTTGATCGTCATAACAAGCGAGTAAACTTTTTAGTCTCAGGAAGCGCCAAACCTTGGGATGCATAAATAGAATATATAAAATAAGATAGAAGGTCAAAAAGGATTATAAATTTTTAACTCTGCCGTCAATTTTTGAAGATGCTGATTATAACGTGTAAGAGACATCCTACGATTATGACAAATCTGTTTGAAATAGGCCGTTGTTATTAGGTTTGGAGCGATACCAAAACTGTCCTCTGTGACTCTGTTAAAACAACTTGACTGTCATTGAGAATCAACAAGTAAACTTCATGTGAAATAAAATATGATGTTGATTTAGGGTCGAGTAATAAGCTAGCGAAAAGACGGTGGCTACCAGTCGGAAATTAATATGTTTACAAAAGTAGATGGCTTGAGAAATGTATATCGAACTTAATTAAGTTAAGCTTTACTCTCCAAAATTTTTCACTTACGAAAGTTGTTATTATTATGATTAGCAGTGCTTCGTGTAATTATTCAGGAAATGGTTGAGTCATTTAACAAGAGAGGCTTTTTCTTTCACCAAAAAGATCTTAAGCATCGAGATTGTAACTACGCATTTGACAAAGTTTGTCCAGTTTTGGGACCAAAGTTGTCAGAGTTTGTCAAAACATTGCTTTAGACATCTACCTATGGATACACCTTTTACTTCATATGGTCACGGACTTTTACCGGACTTTTTACCGTGCAGTTTGATTAAAAATGTTTGAGATTAAAATGGTGTTGGATGACGTTCTTGTCTAGACTGTGGTTGAATTTAAAAAATTTATACTCATCAAAGAGAATTTTGTTCGTTTTATGGTTTTGTGAGCAAATCTGAGCGTTTTTCAGCCACAAAAAGCATACTCAGCTCGTATTCCTGATTTCAAAAAAATTCATTGGATAATTTCCCATCTTGATAACTCGCTGTAATTGTTATTACTATGGTTACCGACTGAAAGAAACTCAAAGCAAAAGCCTAATCTTGCTTGTGAAGAGGAAAGGCTGTTTCGTATAAATCTATTAAAATCACTTACCGATTTTGCCCCAATACTATTTAACTATTGGCGACTCATTGGAAAGTCGTCTATCATCCGAAAAATATGAAATGAAATGAAAGAGAAAGAAAAGCTTTCAAAAGAAAGCTTTTATTAACATCAATTTACCTCCATAATAGATAAAAACAATACGCCAATGCATCAGCTTTTCTCGTCGGCTCTTAACAGACAGCCATTAACAAGCCATCTGCCCTCTGCGTTAACTGACCAATTAGATGAAAGAATTCAGACTATCCGATTAGACTTGATTCTCTGCTGCTTTATAACAGAGCATTAGCCCGTCAAGAATGCTATATGGGCTGCAAAAAGCTGTATCCAGTTGAAAACCTGCCACCACAGAAAGCAGAAGAAATTCCAAAAACTTGGACTCTAGGGGGACTTCATCAGCGCGTTTGGTAAGTCCTGGAAACGTCTGAAAAATACTACGTGTTATTTTCTTTTCCATAAATCAATTAATATAATGTTAAAAAATTCAGAAGTGTTTTCCAATTTTCCTTTTGTGCTTTCTGTGCCATATCTAAAGCGATCCACATCTTCCTTTCATAAAATTGTGACACGTACTAATTTTTTCTTTTTTTTTAATTGAAAGTTGTAGATATCTACATCAATACTCACGTTTGTTAAAGGCTCGCTCAAGTTTTCGAAAATTTTGCAGTCGTTATTCGTTTTTTAATGTGTAAAATGCTGATTTTACTGATTTACTTACATGTTATCTGCGATTAACAGCAAGCTCCGAATGTTAAAAAGGTGATTTTACCATAAATGGTTTTTTACCCGTTTCACTTAATTCTGCAAGCGTGAGAGGAAAGGAAAGGGAGCTAATCGTGCCTTTTTTTTTTTTGTTTTCTTTTGCCAGGTTTAATTTCGTTGGGTTGGTCCTCTAACATAGCAATTGGTTAGCTTCCGCAAAAAAAAAAAAAAGTGAAAAAAAAACCGTAATATGCAGAGTGTAAGTTTAGTACATAGAAGACTTCGTGTTCTGCTCGGCAGAATTTTGCCGTTAAAATAATGAAGGCTTGGTTGAAAATTCTGAGTATCATTTGAACTATTTTTCAACTGCTTCTAAATTCGTCAGAAATTACATGAATTATGTTCTCATCGATACATTAGTGTTAAATTTCGTGAAATGAACTCGCTGATTGCCTGATTTAGAATGAGACACCAATATATTGGGTGCTATAATTTTTTGTCTTGACAGGTTGAAAATCGGTGCATTGCATGCATTTGCATTTTGCTTCTTTCTTCCTTCGTAACTAGATATTTTATCTTATTCGGAAGGTTTGAAGTACTTAAACACCAAAACGAGAGATGAAGACAACAGCTATGCTTCAGTTCGGGTTACCACGACATAACGAAATATTTCAAACCAGCCTTTTCACGCTTTTGTTTTGTATGTGAACGACAGATGTTTCGTATCAGGACCTTTTCAAGTTAACCTACTCTCAACTGAGTATATAAAAGCGGCTAAAAATATTGAAAAACCCAATCTTGGTATAATTAGACAGTCTATAATTATTAAAAGTAATTTCTATTTCGATTGGTCGGGAAAACTGACATGAACACGTACTTTCGTTACGATGATAGATTTTTGCTCACTCCCAACCGTCACCGAACTAGTAGGTTGAAAATGTTCAGATTAATTGTTCCAAATTTTGGGATTAGACGGATAATCCAAAAAGACTATTATTCATTTCTTTATTCAGTCCAAGATGATATTTGCGCCCTGAGCAAACTTTGCATTTCCCTTTGACCAATTGTGGTAAAAAATTAAACACTTCGCGGTTCACTGTGTAAATATATGGAGCGTAATGGATCAAGGCCGGATTATCTTCGAAAGACGCGTGTGTTTACTTAATACTCCTGAAAAAATTCGATTGACGATAAACATATCGAAAGATTGAACATGATGACGCAGTACTGATAGAACGAATTGAATTAAGAGGGTAAGTTCCTAACGAAAATGTAGAGCTGCATCGGTGGGAATGGGGCGGTGTATGTTACGAGATAGGTTGGTTCTATCAATTGAGTTGATGGTGTAAATTAGCCAACGTAAAGTGATTCTAAAGGTGAAGTTTTCGAGCTGGAGTCACTTATGGTTGCTTTAAGAAATTTTCGTTCGAGAATAATCTTCTTATCAATAGAAATATCGAAGAAAATTAAGATTAGCAAACATTTCTCGGCAGAAGCATCTGCTATCTTCGGATTGAGTTCAACACAAAGAACAATAGAACGATAAGAAGGATTAATCTTGATTGATAAAGGTGGAAGAAACATTGATTTACTGTCCAAAAATGACTGATTTTTAAATAACCGCAGATGCGCGCACACTGACGTCCAACTCTCGTTTGAATACTTTTTTTTTCACGCGCAAGAATTTTTTTTTTCTGTGTAAGTTGCACTTAAGAATGCAAAAAAAAAGCTCTCGGTATTCAGGATAATCATGACTGCTTCACGTTTTCCATTCGTACTCGATTCCTAGAAGACTCCAGCCATGCTAATGACAAAGAGGGCACAAAAATATTTTAAGTCTTCAATTCGATATTAGATCTAATTTGCAATCTTTTTCTGAGAGCGAACGTTTAATTTTCACGAAAAAAACCCGCACAGAAACTGGGAACAGAGTTTTTCAAACCCACGTCTTCTCATTTGGAAACTGGCTCCTAGCTCCTCTTACCCTCAACTCTTGTCACCCCAAGCTCCCAACCCTAACTCGCTCGTCTGACGGAAAAGCTTTCAAGAAGGAGGCTATTCGTGAAAGTACCAGTAAACCTAACTTTCAAGGAAACCTTCTGAATTTTGAATAAAGTACTTTAATATTAACTTTCAGATACACCTAATTGAAGGAATTTATGTTTCCCCAGAAAAAAGATTCAATTCAAGACACCTCGGTTAAACTGAAGCTTTCTCTCGCGGATTATCAGCTGCCATGAAGAAAACGAGACAAGTAGAGCCGATCCTGGACTTGAGACTGGAAAATAAAGTATCAACACCAAAAAGTATCACTCGAACTGGAAGAAGAACACAAATGGCGACCATGGTAGTTGTGAGCTTGATAGGCATGACTGGTCTGACGGTTCTTACAATACTAGACGCTTTAAAAGCCAGTCAGGTCACTACAAAAATCAAAACATTGCAAGCTAGCATAAACCTGAGCATCGAAGTCGCGGGCCTCATTCACAGACTGCAAATTGAGCGAGGAACAAGAGTTTTACACTTCAGTTCAGATCCACAACAGGGAATATGGCCTCGGGTTTTAGAAGCTGCAGAGGAAACTGATGAGGTGGCCCAAAATCTCGCCAGGTGGCCACAAGATAATCGTGAAACGTATAATTTTAACAGCCTGGAGACATTTCTGGCGCTGGTAAATAACCATCGTAACTCTCACCCTTCCAATAACAGCACAATCAAAGAAGAAATCACGTTTTACACACAAATAATTACAAACCTGTTTGATTGGTCTTTCCGCAACGTCCAGCAAACAGACCAAGACATTCTGTCGGACTACATCGGGTACCAAATGCTCCTTATTGGCAAAGAAAGAACTGGTATTGAGCGAGCTCTTGGAGGTTCATATTTCAGTCGAGGATATTTTCAAGATACAAATGATTTACTCTGGTATGCAAAGCAGAATCAGCTGGGACAGGACAAGTTACAGACGAGCATGCAACTTGTGCCGGAGATTAAAACAATTTATAATAAATCTGTTGAAGCTTCTAACAGGACGATTTTGGTTACTGTGGAGCAAAAAAGAAAAGTTATCTTAGGCAATAAAAAGCAAAACGCGTCAGTGGAGTTGGGAGTAGAGTGGTTTGATATCATGACTGTTTACATAAATGCATTACTTAAAGTTCAAAAGGAGGTCGGGACACTGATCCTTGACAAACTTAAGGAGAATGTAAGCTCAGCAGAGAACGACTCGATACTTAAGTATTCAGTTTTTGCCTTCGTTCTGTTGATTATGCCCTGCTTTGTGTTCATTGTTTACACGATCCAAAGATACGCGAACAAACTTCATCAAACAACGAAACAGCTGAAGGAAGAAAAACATAGAGCAGATTGTCTTCTTTACCAAATGCTGCCGTATCCTGTCGCCGAACAGCTCAAGGGTGGGCAGACTGTCAAAGCAGAGCAGTTTGAAAGCGTGACTGTCTTTTTCAGTGATATCGTGGACTTCACGCAAATCTGTGCCAGTATCTCACCCATGGAGGTGACCCACATGTTGAACCAACTTTATGGAATCTTTGACAACCACATCGACAAATACGATGTCTATAAGGTGGAGACGATCGGTGACGCCTACATGGTTGTATCAGGCCTACCAGAGAAAAATGGGCACAATCACGTCACTGAGGTGTCCCTGATGGCTCTTCATCTGGTGGAGCTCATGAAAAGTGTTCATTTTGGCTCCGATGACGGAAGAGATCTCAGTGTAAGAATAGGTATACACACGGGTGAGTTTTTGAAGTTATCTCTTGGATTTCTGGAGGTAACCCCGTAGCCGGTTTCGTTATAGTTATTTTAAATGTCTGCATTCTTCGCATACAATCATTTTTTCATATTTCTTATATTTCGTAGATACTTTTAATCATCACAAACGAACAATAACTGGCAATAAAATTTGATGTATCAGATTTAAATTTTATTAGCTTTAAGTATATATTGAATGGTATACTTCCATTCGTTCTTCTATTATTTCGTGAATTTAGTCTGCGCCTCATTAAAAAGGAAGACAAAATCTTTCATTTTTTGCAATTCTATATTATTTTTGTTAACTTCTTCACTCATTTATTTCCAGGTCCTTGCGCGGCAGGAGTTGTAGGGAACAAAATGCCTCGCTATTGTTTGTTTGGGGACACTGTGAACACCGCATCCAGAATGCAGACAACTGGATTGCGTAAGTCTTGTTCCAAAATTTTTGTCAACATAAAAAATGTATAGTTACACTTATAGAGCCCCGGGTTCAATTCAGTTCAGCGCGGCCTGACTTGCATTGGTGATATGCATACATGAAAAACAAATGGAATGTATTCTTTTTTTTTTTCTTATCTATGTTGAGTAGGATGGTGGAGTTCGTCCTTGCTCTGAGGGATTTTCTCCAATTTGTGTTTCGTTTGTTTGTTTGTTTGCTTGTTGTTTATTTACAAATCGTTAAAAAAATTTACAAAGATCGTTGATTATTTAAAACCCAAATACTTCACATTTCAGCCCAGAAAATCCATGTGAGCAAAGATACAAAGGACATGCTGGAATTTATCGATGGTTATCATCTGGAATTCAGAGGATTAGTTGACGTCAAAGTATGACATTTTTGCCATTGTTATATAGGGTCAAGTGAGGAATAAGACCTGGGACTGAATCCTCATGTACAATCTTTTTAGTTCGCCCTGTGGAAAGGAAAAAAAAAACCTAAAGAGAACAAGTAACACAACGATAGAAGACTTTTTTTGCATATTTTTCTCAAAATTACGCGTTTAAATTACTGGTGAGTCTCGACCCAGTCTTTTTGGTCAGAATATCTGACGCGCGAAACGACGAAGAGTATCACTACTCCCAACTGGCTGGGATGCTAATCCCTCGCAGCATTTCATTACCCTTCCCGGTACCAATGTATTCTCATGGGTGGAGAGAGGCACTGGATAGCAATTAATTTTTTTCTTTCAAATACATCAACACACTGACCTGGTCAGCGCTCTCACCAACATTGCTCGAATTAAACTAAAAACCTCTTTACAAAACACATATCTCACACCGTCTTGTTTTATGTACCAGGCTTATTTAGTACTGACAGTAAAATGTTTTTCTTTTATCTCCCTTTTAGGGCAAGGGTGCAATGGAAACCTACTGGCTTTTAGATAATACGGCGCCGTGTGTTTCACAAACGAATGAGAGACCAGATGAAGCAAGTAGTCATAGGTATCAAGTTAGAATCTGAGCTCGCCTTAACACCTCTCACACTAGGCTCCTCTCGGAAACACAAGTAGAAAGTGTTAGCTCTCACTCTTATGACAGGTGATCAAAAAAGTAAACAAGGAGGTTACTTTCAGAAGGGGTTCATTTGGTCTTAAAGGTCTCTATTCAATTTGTTTTTACATCTCAATTTTTTTTAATAGCTTTCACCATTAAGGTGCGGGATACACAAGCGAGGCTCCAAATTATGTGTGCCGTTAAGAGAGGCACTGTGTCTTGACCAACAACACAACGCATTGACCCGGCCAGGTCTCAAACCCAGGCCTCTCGACACGGAGTCCAGTGCACTGAACATAACGACATAACGATACACAAAAGATGTAAAGAAGTTATTTACGATGATACTAATTTTTAAAAAAAATCCAGAAATAGACTGTAAAAGATCGCATTTGATGGTGGTCAGTTACAAATTCTACGTCTCTTTCCTGGTTGTTCAGGGTAGAAAAAAAAATCGAATAGAAAGTATTTCATCTATCTGCATCCTCTAGTAGGTAGACAGATTAAAATTTTCTAGATCAATTATAGGGCTGGGTTGTTCAAGTTACACTTTACCTGAGCCAGGGTTTCATGTAAAATATTTCAATGAGTTTTATAGCTATACAAACGGATCAACTGTATATATTTTGTATCGCCTTTGCTTTCATATAGTAATGAAACCACACACACAAAAAAAACTTTGGCTCATAGATACAGTTTTTTATAAAAGGTACAAAAATAATTCTTACTTTTCAAATTCAGAAGTAGAACTTATCGGCTTTATAACAACCCAAACATCAAAATCAAAGCTTCTTATTAAATGTCGGTAGGTCGCGCGAAATAATTGTTTCAAAACTTTCATGACCCTAGCCAACTCTCTTAAATATCCTTCACTCCGAGATTGATCAATTGACTATTTCATCTCACAACACCAAATTACCAGACCTTGAATTATATGTCACGTGCGGCAAGTAGAAAATTGATACTGAGAAATTGGGAGTGAAAAATCTAAAATGTGAAGGTCATTCGTAACATCATGTGAAAGATTCTGCACATTGTCGCGCTTTGTGTTCAGCGGATAGCGGTTTTAGATCACGCCTCTACCGGTTTTCAACTCAAGATAAAAGAGGTTATTCATATTCAAAGAGAACAACCATTCTTGAATCAACAATTACACCATGTAAATCTAAAACTATCCTTTTAATTCTCACACTTTCATCCTTTACCTCTTTTCTTGTTGTCACTATTTATCATAATTAACATTGTTCTACTTACTATATACTTCAACTTCCAACGCTTTGTACATTAATTAACTGAAGATGACAGAAGTTTCTGTCGAAACATGTTTTACAGACTTAAAAGTTAAGTCGCTTTCTTTACATTCTACAATAAGAATACAATGCAAGCAGCTCAGTAAGTGATATTAATGATTGTAAAACCGTTCAAGCCACTTTACACACAAGTTATTACCTCTTCTACGTTTCATTAGATTTGCTGAGAATAAATAGCTTAGCTTTAATTTGTATCAATAAACATTTTATGTTATACACAATGTGGTCATTGTTCATCATAATTCTATATTACTGTTTAAAAAAAAATATGTTTCGAAAAATATCTTCTAAGTGAAGAGATTTAACCGTTTACCTAAAATTTTGGCTAAAAGTCAAGTCAGGGAAAACATTTAGAGACAATTATAATTAAACTACTTGTCTTACATACCGGCCAGAAAAGTAGCGCTTTTTCTGGACCAATCACTAAGCGAAGTAGAGCAAAACTGATGCAATCATGGACTACTTTCGACATTACTCTGAACGTTAAAACAAATGAGCATTCAAGTTTAAGCATTCAACACTCGTCAAAAGATACAGGAGAAGTCAAGTAAATTGGGTAAGTATTAGAACTAGAGGAAAGATGATCTTGGAGTACAATTTAACAACATTTTAGTCAAATTAGCGCGTCGTTTATATCCATGGTATCATAGGGAAAGAAAAAGAAAGATTCCGACAAATCTTCCTAAAGCTCTTCGCAGTTATCGACGTCTGATTCGCCATTGTTAAATAAATTTTGCAAAACTGAAACTTTCCTCGTGTCCTGGTTCCACCTTGCAGTGGTCATTTATTTCCTTTTGTGGTAAAACTTCCTTATCGCCCGCTTCTTTTCTTTTCTTTAAACGATATCGTTTGTTTTTGAACCAGTTCTAAAGACAAAAACAAACGGGGCATCAGTATCAGAAAAAGTAAACGTTGAATTTTTTTCGATAAATACCTGCAGCGCCGTCTTTTGAATACCCAAAGTCTCGGCCATCTGTGCCTGCTCAATGGACTCAAGGTATGGCGACAGATGAAACACTTGCTCCAAAATTTGTTTTTGATGAGAATTAAACCTCGATCGCGGTTTTCCACTTGGCTTAAGACTACAGCCTGGCTTGGTACCTACGACTGAATTTGAATAGAAATCAAGTCAACCAAAATTTTTCCATGCAGATTTTAATTCGATTCGATGCGATAATTTAATGATCATGTTAAATTATTGGACGTGTTCGATAACTCAAGAAGCAGAGAGTTTTGACTTCCGCTAAATATATAGATGTCCTCTTCTTTTTTTTTGGTAAATATCCGCTTTATGGGGACTGCTACAACACATTGTGTAAATCTACCTTTTACAATTTCATCAGCCAACATTTTTCCTTCCATTGAGACAATTTCTTCGACAAAGGATGAAGTTGACATTTTTAAACTTAACCAAACCGTCTCCCTGTGGTGATGGCTGATTCCAATTCATTTGCTTTACAGCTATGTAAAGTTATTTCATACCATATCTTAATTCCAAAAATATAAATGTAAACATTTGCTGATTCGTTGATTTTTGTTGTGAGGTCTCATATAGCTAATTAATCGCTAATTTGCAGCTAATTGTTTTTATTCGTTAGGTCAGCCACTCAACTTACCAATGACATTTTAACTGCTCGACATAACAACATACATTATTTCATATGAAGTATGTACCAATCGTATTGGATAATTTACCTGTTACATAACACTCAGCGAAGCACCAATTACCTCGAATAATAAGGAATGGGTTAATTAGACTTTAATCAGCCTTAATTACCTAATTACCTACCTCTTCGTTTTGCAAACAAAAATTAAAATATACATAACAATGATTGCAATAATATGGCCATAACAATATTAAAACGAATGTGTAAACACGATATATTTGTCTGAAATGATAGCATTGTTGGCAAAGGGATCCAGTCTGAACTAAGTCTAATTACGTTTTAAAACCACGATTTCGGAAATCTTTGGTACTTTGGGTCTCTCGAACCTGTCTGATACCAAAACATTTGGTTGGTTACCCTGTAAATTCGTTGTTTTGATCTGAATTCTTGACGTTTGTTTTTCACTTTCAAAATCCGTCGTAATTAATCAAAATTGTTATTATTAGCACCATTGAATCAGGTGTTAATTATGGATATTTCATTTAGTTTCGTTTATTACGTAAAATCACGGCACAAACTGATAAAGCTGAATAACTATGCGATATGTAAATGACCGATCATGTTGCTTGTTTTTTTGCTTACCGTCAATGCTGCGATAACCAATTTTTATCCAAGAAGAAACTGATTCATCTCACAAGTTAGAAAGCTTTTAGCGTTCATTTCGTCAACATATTTCCGAAAAAGATGTGCTGAGATCAGATTGTAATATCCGTGGCTGAGAAACCAACTGTTTTTTAATAATAATTCGCTTATTGACTTCAAAATTGATTAAATGACGTATTGCTGTTTTAATGATGTCATTATACATGCAGAACAGATATTCACTCGGTTTCAATGACGCTTCAACCTTACGCTAGAAAATCAATCCCTAAGCGAATAGCGCACTATTTATTTTCAAAACAAATACCTAGGTACGTCATTATTTTGCTTAAATCAGCCACTGCACCACTGTGCAATTTCAAAACATCTCTCTCCAAGCAATTATAGGGAGCACACCAACTCTCAATTTTAAAATTCCGAAACAGTTATTTTTTTGTCGCAATGGCAGAATTATTTGAACCAGTACCAGAAAATGGTAGAGATTCACATGCAATTGACGTCGATCCGTTCAACCCGCTGAATCCGTTACCGCCGAGATCCTTTTCTGGTAAGTGCAGAATCCACGGCAAGCTTACTCTAAAGTGTTGCCTGCCAACGAATATTCTGTTGCTCACATTCAATTGCTTGAGCTTGCGTTGGAAAAAATATGAAGTATGAGCCAAAACTTCAGATCAAACAAGGTGGAAGTCCATCAAAGCAACACGCTGAATTAACTTGTTGCGTTTATTACAACGTTTTTTGGTTTGTTTGAATGGTTTTTGTATTTTCAAGATGTTTTCAAAAAACCAAAAACTTTCTCTCTTAGTATAAGTGAGGGGATTTCTGCCTCCCTGTGATTCCCTCATAAACACGACCAAAACGGTCGTGTCTTGTATCTTAAAAAAAGTAAACTTTAAGTACGGCTATTTTTCCAAACGTGGGGAAATTCGTTATCCGTCAACATGATAATGAAGGACGATGTTAACCTGGAAACTAGCAATACCCTTGTTTTTAAAATGATTGAAAACTTACTTTAGATTCTAAGGTGTATTTCACTTATAAATCCATAGGCAAAGAAGCGCATGGCGGTGAGAGAATTTATTTGCATCCGCCATGACCTCATCTCGATTATTATGCGCGATGTCTGAAGCTACTGGGTTGATTCTTTTCTTTCTCCTCGTTTTAACATTTTCTTTCGCTTTTTCGAGAGCCTTTCCTCCACAAAACAAAGAAATACCCACAGATGTGACTCATTATCTACCCTAATCAAGTTAACCCTTTAACTCCCAGATGTAAAAAATCCATCCACGAAAAAAGAGACTAGAGTCCAAACTTTGTAGAAAATACGTATCAAACTTTTTAAATGAACCACAATATTTAGCTAAAATAAAAACTCCGAAACGTCTTAAAAATTCCAAACAAAGGAGTAACAAATTTACGCGAACGAAAGCTCAAAACAACAAACTTAACTCCGCAAAAACAAAAAGTACGCGAAAAAATGTCCACGTCAGTTTTCCAATGTCAAAGTTGGAGTTCTTTGACATGATTGGCTAATTTGTGAAATCATGTGCGCTGCACGTGAATGTAAGAGGAAGAGAAAAAATTGTAACTTGAAATTTAAAAACGAAAGATTTTCTACTCCAGAGGTGATTAACACGTAACTTCTCTTTATAATATTCATACATCATCCAGTAAACAGGTAATGAAAATACTCAAATAAACCAAATTCTCGTATCTAACTCAAAGGAAATGTGTGGTTACAGGGAAGAATTAACCGATAAGATCTTGATAGTTAAATGGTTAACTGCAGAATTTATCAACACAGGCGATACCGCTCAAGTAGCTAATGTAAACAGCCAGGCCTCTGCACCGAAGTCTTACCCACGACTGCGAACACGAGGGAGGCTGACAGATTATCAGAAAAACGTGTTGGAGCGACTGTTTGCTAGATCACCGTACCTGACTTCCAACCAGTGTATGGAGGTAGCTGCTGTGTTGGGGATACCAAAACCAGCTTTGCAGGTAAGATTTTAAAAAATGTAACCCCAGGAGGAGCAAGTTGAGAAATATGCTTTATTTTAAAGTTAATGTTGTTGCGAACGGTGACAACCTGTAAAATCAAAACTTTTAATACAAACTCCTTCAAGAAGGCTTCGAGAAAATTCTAACTGAATGTTTACAATAAAGTGACGCTTCAAAATCGAGAAAAAAAAGTGAATGAAATAGACAGGCTTTAGCTTGGCGGTTCAAGAATGTTTCCCCTGCACATGCTCAAAATCTAGGATTTCCCGTATGTCCCGCATGGGAACCCAGGCGACAGCCGTGTGTTGAACAGCTGCAACATCGCAACTAAACGTCCTAGAAATTCCAGAAAATAATCGTTAACAGTCATTTCCCACGACACGTGAAATATTACAACGGTCAATTAGAATGACCGATTTTCTGAAAAAGTTAAGCCAAAGTGTAGGCCCGTCCAAGCAACCAGGCCCTTTATATCAGTAAATCCAGAATAGGCTTCTGGGTAAATAGCGCCGTTCTTTACCTCTGTATGTTTCGTTCTAGAATTGGTTCAAGAACAAACGGTACCGCATGAAGCTGAAGAAGGAGTCTCAGAAGAACGTTGCAAGGTGTATCACTCCAGCTCTCATGGTACACTGCATTCAAAATTCAGGTCCTGTACAAAATATTTGCGGGGAGGCTCCACGAAGTCTACAGTTTCCCTACAGTAACAACATTCCTCAAAATTGTGATCAAAGCAATTGCTTTCTTTCAGCTGCTGCAAGCTCAGCTATGTATAACTAAGTTCCAGGGATAATTTCTCCATCTCCATCGGATTTCTCTACAAAAGCACGTAAAAATTAATCGTCCGTTTTATCATACAACGCTCTTACTTCCTCCTTCTTTACAATAATTAACCTGTTGCATTATAGTTTTTGCTGTCAGTATCTCTTTTCGGAAGGGGGAAGTAATTACTTTTAAAATAAGAAAACTAAGGTTATTACTATTATATTTACAACGTAATTACAAAGTATCGTATTTCCTCGAATAAGACCCAGGGTACCTCTTTAAAACTTCGGCAAAAAGTAGAGGCGCTTATTGAAAGGTGGGCACTTAATCGTGGGGGACGCTTTAGGGGATAAAAAGGACCAAAAAAAGATAACGCACGTTAAGGAACTCTGTTAAAACATGAAGACGAAAAAGACTGGAGCGGAAAAGAAACTATCCTTCCGCACTGATTCACTGTGGTGGAAGTTGAAAAGTTTAAACATAGTGGCAACGAAAACAGGTTTTCCTTGGATACCCGCAATATAAGAAAGGGAACGGGGGTGGGGGGAGGGGAGGGGAGGTGAAAGTGCGTCGTTTAGTTTTTATGCAGCTTGCAGGTTGACGTCGTTCAATAATTTCTTTTATCCCATTCGGGGTTTGATTATCTACAGTTTCATTAACAAACAAACTTATCTCCCGTGGAGAAGAGTAATGTTTCACAGTTCACCTGCTTTTTGTGCTTGTGCATTTTATTTACTATATTTTGGGTTATTCAGTAATTTTTTTTCTAAGGATGATCCTCGACGTACTGTCTTTAGAAAACTTTGTTCCTGAGAATTCTTTTTCGAGTGATATATAAATTTAGGGAAGTACAAGTCACTAACCTTATATCGAGTACATTCATTAGTCAATCATTTATGATTTAATTTTTTTATTTATCTATGTTTTACCCTTTTTATTTCAAGTAGCATCTTATTTGTATCAACCATATATTTAACTTTACATCCAGAGTAAATAACAAATTAAGTTGACGTTGGAGTTTAAGAACAGTAACTTCCTGTTAGGCGAGTGAAGAATAAATTTCGTCAGCAAAGGCTTGAAAACAGGAATGTCTGTCGATGATGTCTTTGGGTTGCTGCTTTCAATAACATTTAAACAATAAATAAGGTCCTCAGTGCTCGGACTCAAATTTTAAAAAAAGCTGCTCCTTTGAATTTCATCCCTACTTTTTGCACTTTCTTCTCACATCTGATAAATCCTCTCCAGTCCCCTACTCCCCTAGGTTCCTATCCCTTGTCTTTTTATTTAAAAACCTAGAAAAAAGGAAAATGCAGCGAAAGATCAAGAAAACCTGCAGGTCGTTCTAATGATGGATATTTCAGCTCGCTATCTTATTTTATGGGAAATTTCAATATGATTGACTTGTGTGTAAAAGCCTTCCTTTTTACCTGCAACCGGACCAACGCAAACTTGAGGCACACTTAAGAGAGTATCAGGACACCTGGGGCGAAGAGGAGAGGGGGTGAGTCGAAGGGGGGTGGAAAGAGACGGGAAGACGCAGGATACAGTAAGCAAGGATTTGTGAGCCTGACCTTGTCCCCTTCCGCACATCCCACTTATCAAAAGACAAAGCTTTTAAGCTTTACTTCGATGATTCTGACCACGGTTTGAGTGTTGGAAATTGTGTCAAATAACTCTAAAAATAACATTTTCAGAAGAAACAATGTATATTCCAAATCCAATCCAAAATGTGAATCACGTGGTCTTAGATTTCTATCATGGCTAAAGTCTCTTCTATTATTCGATAGATTCTCCCCAACATATTTTATAGTATAATATTATAGCATAGTAGATTAACCTTGAGGCGTTAAAGCACCTGTTTCATGAAAATTCTTCTCATTTGCTATTGACGAACTCATTTCTAAAAAAGTTGTGGTCCTGAAGAGAGGAGCATATTGCCTTCTCCGAATAAATGTCTGCTTCAAGCTTAAAGCTAATTTTAAAGCAACGAGGCACCTAATCATTAAAATGAAGGGGTTAAATTTCTAATGAAACTGTGCTGCTACTGTGTCGGAGGGTATTTAAAAAATACATGGTTTAATCAGATGATTTGATAAAGTAAATTGGCCACCGCAGACTTTTTTGAGCTTTAGAAATTACCCAATTATTTGATTCTTCGCATTACTCTTTGCATTTGGTTTATAAACAACACGAATAAGTGAAAAAAGCCGAGCGGTCATATCGAATCTTGTCTTGTCTTTTTTTCCACTAGCATTTCTTGAGAACTTATTTAAAAACCTCCTCAATAATCCGGGCTACACACATTTTTTGTTCAGATGTGTTGGATTACAAATATTTTGTTTATACGCGGAGGTGTTGGACACCAAACAAAAGTTGTTCTCCTTTGATAAAAAGGTGTCAACAATCACTAGTCTATTTACTCATTCACAATTGTCAGTTGACATAATACTTCATAATTAGCCAATCAGACGCGTTCTAGCTTCTGTGGGTGCGAGTGATTATATTTTATATTTAATCGATCCGAGTTAATCATCAGATTTTGTAGAAGGAAACGTTGGAGTCGAAGGAAACAGAAAGATATTGGTGAGTACGGTCCATTCTTTCATCTACAATAGCTTCCCTAGCTGTTCATCAAAATAAGGGAGAGCATTGTTTACGCCTTTTTTCCATTTGGTTTATACCAAACTGAGTTAAACAATGTCTGTAGCTGAAAGAAATCAGTTTAAAAGAGGCTTTAAAATTATATGGAATCTTCAATCTCCTGTTTCTCCAGCTTTGTCAAAAAAATGACTTTGCTCTCTGATACGAATCAAGACTCAAATTACATTGGTACAACACAACTTTTTTTAGACATTTATTTTACTAGGAATTCTCATCCCCATTGTACGGCTTTCTTGATTCATAATAAGCATGCTAAGTCTAGGAAACATTTCCAAAATGATCAGGACTTATATTTTCAGTTCTCTCACTCATGTAAATGTGTAGATGTGATAATTCTAGAATACGTGTATAGCCACGTTTATTTATTATAATGAAGATATCATTCCATGTACCAACTCATGACACTCCTTAACAAAAGCACTTTCCACCTTTAAAAAATAGGAAACTGTGAATGTATTTACTCTTCCAAAGTGCTATATAAATAATAATCAGCTAAAAATCTATGAGGTATGTAGCTGTCGTAATCTATCAACTACACTCTGAGTTTGCTTATTAAGTAGGTTTCGCGACAGTAGCCTGTGTGGAGAAAGGTTTGGTGCGTTTGTATAGAATTTTCATGAGGAAAAAAATGCGTTTGCTCTTTGGGGACTCAACCTCAGAACTTCAGAACTCGCGATATGATGCTATACCTCTTACGTTCACAGAACTTTCCGGTGTAGACTCGATCACGAGATCGAAAGTTTGTGATTCGAATTCCGTTCAGGGAACCTAAACCTTTTTACCCCTACCACAACCCATGACAATATGTTCGAATTCTTTTTCACTATGACGATCAACTTCATAATGTATTTTAGAATGTCAAAAAGTAGCTGAATCTTTCAAAAATTAACACGTGTATCAGTCCTTTCCGTTTCCTTTAATCCAAGTGGAGAAGCATGAGGCGCGCGCGGATAGTGGGGCGATTTTATCTTTTGACTCGCTTTAGCCTTCCAGTGTGCGATTTCTGCCTTGTTGAAAGGAAACGGGAAAATCGCCACGAGGGCTGACGGAAATCGATTCGTTATGGCTATTGTACCTTAGAATTTTTACAATTTTCAATTCCGTCTATTCATTATCCTGATAGACATGATGACCTCAGCTGTGATCGGTTGCCTTGTGGCCGTGGCTTTCTTTGCTGTGGTGGATTCCAGGGCTCTTAGCTCACTGGAAATAAACGCAAATCAACAAAACCCAGCCCAGGCTGCACAGCAAGTCAGTGTTCAGAGCCAATCAGATGAAGTGAAACAGGATAAGGCCAGCAAAGGTATAACTTTACTTTCGAATTATTTTCAAGACAGTCAATCTATAAGCTTTCCAGTTAATCAGTTAATTTTGTTTTTGTTTTTGCTTTTTAGAACAGCCAGGTGTCTACTACCCCGGCTATGGACATTTCGCATACCCCTGGCAATATGGAAATTATCCCTACGGCTACCCCCACTACCCCTACCCATATCAACACCCCCATGTACCTGTCACTGCGCCTGTAGTAGTACACCCAGCTTTACATCCAGCAGTGCACCAGGCCCCCGCTACTGTTCACTATCCATACCCCTACAATTACCCATACCCCTACCACTACCCCTACGGATACAACTACTGGAATTACAACTGCGGATACCCCGGCTGTACGACCCATGTTGAGCCCAAGGAAAACAAACCTGCAGAAGAATCCAAAGAGGGTAATGAAGACAAAGAAGACAAAAAGAGTACCGTCAGTAACTGAATGAATCAAGCTGTTGTTCTTGCTTTTGTAAGAGTTTGTGCTTGAATAAACATGCTATGAAGGTGGGAAAACTGTGGACTCTTGCTGCATGACAGGGGTTAAAACGAACTGGAGAAATGATCTTACGGCTAACTTTTATCCTCACTGTTTTTTTCAAATAATGACAAAATTAAAACAATCTATATGCCAGTGCATTCTGAACAACAGAGGAAGAGAGCTCATGATTCTAATGATTGTTTCGTCTCAACCATCGGCTGGCTCTTGAATCTTCTTCGAATATTTTTTCCGTTTTTTCGAATTTAAATAAAAAGTATAAGTTTTGCATTTGCTGGGAATGGAACCCCTCCCGCATGGGCAGGTGAAAAGGCTTGGACTGAAACACCAGTGCCTATGTTCTGCACGAAAGATAGCCTTTTTGTAGAATAATATAAACAGTAAATAGTCCTCTTTCTTCAATTTTCTCCCTGCCAAGCTCTCACTGCAACCATGAACAGGAAACATTTCTACTCTGCATGAAAATTTTGGTCGGTTATTTATCTAAACCAAACCAAGGTTTATTCCAATCAGTGGGCTTCAGGATTTCTCGATAAGAAGATTTATTTAATTAAATAAAAGTCCTTCCACTGTTAGCTTTCGGCCCTACTGACACTGTTCACAAAGTAACATTCAGAGTAAAGGTTCGGCCAAATTGAGGATTTGTTAAATAACGGCTAAACTTTGTTTAAATAATAAGCCCTTAGGGTTTGAGTCTCACAAAAACGGATTACAATTTGTTCACTGCCGCTAGTTTCATCAATATTTAGGCTCCTTCCTTTTGATTGTCGAGAGCTACCGTATCACGCTTTAATGATGTGATGCAAGCTACCATTCTTGCCATCGGCTCTCATTTACAAGCTCAGTTGAAGGCCACACGATATTGGAAACTGATATTTATTATTTTTTTCAATGTATCAAACAGAAATAATTTCAATACAAGTTTTTGTTCCTCAGGAAGTCAGGGCTGAAAACATGAAATCAAAAATCCAAACCACTGGTCTGCTATTCTGCCCACAGGGCACGTCATCGATCTAAAACTCTCTTCTCCAGATTTCAAACGCTCTATTTACAGCAAGCAGGAGCGCAAGCCGGGGCACAAACTGGCATAGGTGGTGGTGGAGGGGGAGGAATGTACACAGGTGGTGGAGTGCAGCATGGCTGAGGGCAAATCTTCATACAATGATGGATACAGATGGGGGGACAAGGCGGTGGGGGTGGAGCGGGTAGACCGGGGCATCCGGGTGCTCCGGGAGGTCCCATTGGTCCCATTGGTCCCATACATCCTGGACTACCGGGGAATCCACGACATCCGGGAAGTCCGGGTGGTCCCATGCACCCTGGTTGTCCTGGGGGTCCTGGTTGTGGGCACGGCACAGGAACGGGGACGGGACATGGTGGTGGTGGAGGGGGTGGGGGTGGGGCACAACACGTTGGTTCACAGGCTGGAGCACACATGGATGGACATCCATAACCACAGGGGCTGGCCTCTCGCTTTTCTTTATCTTCTGTACAGAAAATACGATTAATACTGTGATTTAAACAGACTAAACGGAGCAATGCTAGGGTCAACTTCTAATCGTTCATAAATTAATAAAGACAATATATAGCATTAGTTTGCTTTAGGATAATTAGTCATTGCAAAGGGACAGGACGTAAGCATCGTGTAAGCAAACGTTTTCATCTTAAAGGTGGTGTCAACAGGTAGGACGTTTAATTTTTTTTATCATAAACAAAGCGATTTTTTTGTTCCTTTCCACGGGTAAGATGGGTTTTCTTTTTCAGAAACACGATTGGAATATTTTGAGACAAAAACTATGACGTTGTGACACAAAATCACCGTAAAAAGTATCCTCATGTTTCGGATTCCTTTAAGTACAGTTACAAATATTGATATCCTTAGAAAAGCAACGAAATATCTCTTACCGAATGATTTTCCACATACTAATGCCACAAGGCAAGATGCAATTAAAATTCTTAGACCCATATCTGTAAAAGAAATGATAAAAGCTTTGTTATTCATCGTGCAAATAAGAATACACAGTTCATGCATAAAATGGCACTAAACCGTAAATACCTTTGAGATTAAACGTCAAGGGATTCCCGGAGTTAGAAAAAAAATTATGCACAAGTGGTTCAAATCGTTGTTCTAGGTATGAACAAGGAAAAAAAATAACAAGTTCGGATATCTCATGCGTGAGAACAGTATCATAGTATTCGTTGCTACAGAATTAAAAGAGCTTATTGTAGTGTAGAAGAATTCGGGATACACGTGGATTGAAAAAAAATAATAAACAATTGGTGTGCGCGTTTTTGTGAGTCTCATTTTGCGGAAATGCTGTTACAGGTGAAGTGCACAAGCTCGAGAGAGAACGCTCTGAAAAAAAGAGTATGCCAGTTTGTTTATCATTATGAATAAAATTAACAAAACATTTCATCTGCTTATTATTTGTTTAGAACTTAAAAGTATTCTTGTATGAATAAATCAAAGTTCATTTTCGTATTTCTTAGCACATTTTTCACAACAAAGATATATAAATGTATTGCTGGTGTTCTTTGTATAGAAAACAGATTTGCCTTTCGTGAATCAATAACTAAATTAACACCTGTGAACAGCTTGAAATTAGCGAGACTAATTACAAATTCAGCTTATTATTCGTTTTTCTCGTAAAAATAATACAAAACCCTTTCCTTTATGTAAGCTGTGAAAATAAACTGGGAAATATTAACATACGATTCTACTGATTGCGTAGAGGTTTAAATTCATGCAGTCAATGATGGCGAAACAAGGAAGGGATGTTCTAGAAGAATATTTGAAAATTCTCAGAACTGATGTTTAAACGATTGTTTTGAATTGGTGAGGAAAATGGCTCTTTCAATATACAGTCCTAGATAATTTTTGGTTATCACGGAAAACGAAATCACATCTTTGTGGCAAATCTTTGGGCCTTATTATCCTCTCCAAAGGCCTTCGAGGACACTCTACGATTACACATTTCAATTTCTCTTTCTTCAGTTCATTAACTCGAGTTTGCTATTATTTTCTAATCAAGCTTGGCTTTGAGAACTTGCCCATACTTTTCACGAAAAGCCATAAAATAGAATTCTATGGGTTTCCTTTGACTTTTCTCTAAACTATAATCACACTTAAGTGCACATTTCGTCATACAAGGCTAAAACTTTTGCTTTTTAAAATTGACTTTTAAGAATTGACAGAAATTCATTAAGAGTTGGATTTAGTTTCGGGCTTCGGAAACAGAGATCAGCCACGTTATGACGCTGTTACTAATCAATTAGCGCCGAGACTAAACAAAAACTTAAAAGCTAAAAGCTAAAAGCTTTGTTTATAGATATGAGGGCTAAAATACACACGTTTGGCTGACGCCATTCGACAGGTAGTTGTAGATTGTCTTTACACTCCTCTGAATACAGATTTTTAAAGGTAAATCTATAAACTAGGATGCATCATCTCCTCACCTGTAATCTCGGATATTCTCTATCTTCTCACGGAAAAAAATCGTTTTAGATCTGAGTCTTTCACAGTCTGCTTTTGTTCCTATTTTTGTCCTTTTATAAATGATGCATTATGTTTTACAAGGAATTACTTAATCCAGCTGCTCGGTAAATATCACGCTTGGTTGGTCGCTGTTTGACAGTTATTACTCAACTCAGACATCCCACATGTTATGAAATGTGGGTTTTTGTCAATAATTTGCTTGACTTGACAGTAGGAGACAAAATATTTGATCTAGCCCGTTGACGAAATGCGAAAGAGCATATGTCAGTAAATCCTCTTTTGCCATTTGCTTCTATGGCAATGTGGGTTAATAATTGATTCCCTGGGCTTCCATCCAAGAAACTGCGCTTCATTTGAGCGTTTCTTTAACACTAGAAAATTTATCCAAAATCTGGTTATAATTTCATGTCAATCAAGATACAGTTTCCTTATTCTCTGAGCATCTTTTCTTTTTTGTTTCATGGGCTCACTGAAGGAGCCAATCACAAAAAGAATCCGTGGGTTTGAGTTACATGACGTAATCTCTTTGACAAGCCCACCTCCCCTGCGCAGGTCATGTTTGTACGCTTTCCGCCTCCAATAAATATCTGATAATGCAGGACTCTGCTACTGTCATTTCAGGGGCATAACAGGACTTGACCTTTCGTCCATAACTCTTTTCAAGACTCCAAAAACATAAAGAGGTAAGATCATCAAAAGGGTTCTCTTATGTTGGGATTAAGTCGCGAGCTACGCACAAGAGGTAAACGGTGTACTTAACGTTTTTTTTGTTCGTAAATTTGAATAAAGGGGGAGTTTTTTTCGCTCAGTTGGGTTTTACAGGTGACCTTCTTTAACCTCACTGGCAATAACCTTCCCCCTAACAATGTAGAAGTGTCAGTTTGCATCGGAAAAATTTTCGAAACCTGTTAGGATATGGAAGCTACTGATCTTTAAATGATCTTGAAATAGTGTCAAGTTGACCTCTTTCTCCAAAAAAATGGAAAGAAAAAAATAAAACTAAAATAAAATTTAAAGGCAAGGAGCATTAGATACGATCGTTCTTGCTGATTACAAACATTTTTGAAGGAGGTAAGCCTAATTTTAGCTAGATGAAGATAAATTTAAAATAACAGCAAATAAAATTTTATACGGTAATTAGTGATGTGCAATAGAGGTTTTCAGGGATCGTTTCACAGTCTGTTTTTACATTCCTCTTCAGTTCACAACTGGTCATGTTAAGATTTACACTTGCCTGCTTATTCTTCTTTATTGCTTCGCTGGAAGCAAGAAAAGGTTAGTTATTCTGTTTATCTTAGTCTGATAAATGTATACATTTCTATTTGTGTTCCCAACTGGAAAGGCTACAATGGTATCATGGTATACATTGTCATTTGATGTTTTAAAACTGGTATGTTGGAACAATATAAATATGACTTAAGATTTTCTGTGTTGATTATTGGTTTTTTTCGCCGTAAAACAGTGAAGCGTCTTGTCGACATCAAAGATATAAGCAAAAATAATCCACTGGTTTAGATAGATCGGAAAATAGAATAAGCTCGTTAAGTTAGCATATATTTTCTCGTACCTGAACAGGAACAAAAGGTTCCAGTTATTTGACTAAATATTTTCCTTTGATAAACCCTCAGTGTGCCTTAGAATTACCTCTACATGTTAAATTTCTATGTATTCGCCGAATACTTTTCAGGGGATCGTGATAGGTAAAGTTATTTAAAACCTGAGGTGATAAAAAATGAATACAGCTTCTTTGTAACAATAAAATCGAAACAAACAGGTGTTTTGCTTGTGCTAAATACTGGTACGACAGCTAAGAAAAATAAGCGTAGGACTGAAACCAACCTCAAAAAAGATAGCAGAAAGACATTGCATGCATTGAACAAATGGAAAATTGCCCTAAACTACCTCCTGAAATTTCATTTCAGAATTTTACATTACATACATAGTAACAATTTCAAATATATTTTGACGATTTTCTAAATGTAAGGGTCAATAAAAACAAAATAATAAACAGGGGCGGAAAAATGAGATTATTATCTTCGCTTGTTTAGCAAAAACTGTCATCGTGGATTTAGAATTTTTTTACTTCTCGGATTATAGTTTGCAAATACAGAGTATTTTAAAGCAACATGGACGAGTCGAGAAGGATTATTAAGGATTACTACTTCGTAGTAAGAGGTCTGTCTTTCAATGATTTGACCCAAATGATTATTCAACGCCTGCCCTACTAAATGAAAGTAAACGACGAAAACCCTGAGGAAACTCACATAGATCTACTCAGAGCATCGAGCATAGAAAATTATTGAAACAGACTCTGAAGGGAAAGAAAAGTCCAATATCACTAGAACATTTTTGATGTATTTGCCAACAAATCTATTTGTTAATTACCAGCAAGATTTCACAAATGATAACGAGCTTACAAGCTTTGAACTGTTCGCCACAACACAGCGGTCAAACACTGCGCATGCACGAGAGTTTGAAGACAATAAGAGAGATTCCGAACGCGTGTCCAGTGTAAAGTAAGGAAAAGAAGATTAAATCCCAACTATTCCCATGCATAAAACAAATGAGATAAGGATTTTTGAGATTAAATCTTGGCTTTATTTTGCTGTGTGATATCCCAACTGTTTTTAACGCGGACGCTTTGTTTCGGCGATAAAGGAAAATGATGAAACCTTTCTTCTACTCCGGCTGCACAATCTACTGTTCGTTATAAACATAGACCTGTGATCGTCACAAATATCTTGTGTGGCTCTGGTTCTTCCTTTTTTGACACATTTCCCTCGGTATTTACCGGCAACTCCATCATGAACACAACAAAGAATAATTACAGCCAGCACGCCCAAGTTTACGGACGACTTCATCACGCCGCAATGCAAAGTGTAGAAAAAGTACGAGTGTAAACTAACACTTGGTGGGTAAAGTCCAGAACACCAATGTGTATGCGTCTCGGCCTTGGAAACTTCTAACTTTAGAAACTGCAAAAAACTACGTCTTACTTTGATTTTCCATGTTTGCAAGAGCAAATCATCCATCACTGTGCGCATGTGCAATTTGACCGCTGTGTTGTTCACCACGCTCTCCAGCGATCCTAAGTAACCTAGCCTAAACTGTTCCATTGTTCCGAGCGAGTGAGGTCACTGTGGTTGAAAACTACCCAGACTATCTTTGATAAAGAGAAAGCATGCAAGGTTTTCTTGGAATACATATTTGATCCAGCTGCCTTTTCACCTTCTTCAAAAGACTATCAATCCCTTATAACATGGAGGTTACTACCTAAACGCAAGAGAAATAGTTTCTGTTCCAATGGCGTTGTTTGAATACATTGTGAAACAAAAAGACAGTTGCGTTAAAGTCAGTGTCCTTTCTAATCAGCTAAAATATTTCTCCGTGTACTGAGGGCTTACACCATAGAATCTTTCTTCATGGAATCATACTGAAGCACAGTCTTACTGACACTGTCACTGTCTGTTTTAAAATGATCTGCTCCTGCCATGAAAACATTTTCTACCTTTTGAGAAAGCTGCCACCGTAATTTATATGGCAAAAATTATAAATTCCTGTTGGCGTACTTAAATATGCTTTTAACCTTAATTTCACAGTTACAGAAGCTTACTTGCATCATGGAAAGATTGTCAAAATAACAAAAGAAGTGGAAGACGAGCCAGGTAAGCATAAAAAAGGTTATCAAAATACTTTTCTGTCTCTTTTCTGGCTGTCTGTGGTCATAAAAAAATCGATATAAGCACTTTCTTCTACAGTATGACTAGCAAGGATGCACTTATACTTGTAAGCCGAAGGCATGAAAGAAACATCGTCCGTTCCAATGTATATAAATTATTTGGAGGTAACGACACTGTCCTCATTTTGAGGTTCCAATGAAAGACCGAGACAATCAAAAGCTGTCTGCTAAGAATTCGGCAACCTGATTGCTCAAAAATGTCGTAACGAAGTCCTAATGCCTCTGTTTCCATCTCCTGACGATTTGTTTGGACAAACAGAGGCTACATAAAAAGTCATTCTTGAAGCAGACAAATAATTTTTGCGATAACCAAAGAAGCATATGTTTATGACCTGCTTGTTATGGCTTTGCATGCACGGCAAAGTTATTGATTTGGTATCGTCCAAAATCGAAATTTTGACACATTTGAATAGTCTTGATCCGCAGTAAGAAATAAATTCTTAGATCGATATTCAATTGTAAGTGGGAGATAAAATTGTATGGTTTCTTACTGACTGAAAGCTGTTCTCTTTTAATTTTCGATTATCAACAGAGACAGTAGAGAAGCGTAATGCTAATCCGTGTGGTTACGGATGTCCGGCTTTATGTGCTCCTACATGCAACCCATCGTGTTGTGCCCCTCCGCCGCCGCCGCCACCACCACCACCTCCACCACCACCCCCGTGCCCCGTACCTTGCCCCATGCCAGGACCCCCTGGACAACCTGGATGCATGGGACCACCCGGACTTCCCGGATGTCGAGGATTTCCTGGTCTTCCCGGATGCATGGGACCAATGGGACCGATGGGACCTCCTGGTTCACCTGGATGCCCCGGTCTGCCCGCACCGCCACCACTACAATGTCCACCCATCTGCATCCATTACTGCATGAGAATCTGTCCACAGCAGTGCTGCACAGCCCCACCTCCACCAATTATGCTTCCCCCACCACCCCCTCCTCCTATGCCCATGCCATTCTGTGCACCTTCGTGTGCACCAGCATGTTGTAGGGGCAAAGTAAAAAAATCTTAAAATTGACGGGAAAGATGAAGACGAGCAATATTGGAACACTTACAAGTGCACTACTAAACCAAATATGTAAAGAAACATTTTCACCGTGGGTTTGGGGACAGTGAGCACTGAGTGCATACTGAGGAAAGGCAATGCAAGTGAACGCTTTTGTACATGACAACTAGTTTATCAAAACTCGCCGTAGAAAAATAAAGATTTATTTTAGCTACTTGTTTTGTCAGTTACTAGATTTGATCTTGAAGAGTTGAGCCATCTAGAAAATTGGAGAATCTAACCAACAGTGTCGAGAAGGAACCCCCTGAGGATGATTAACAACTTAATGCAAGTGGGATGTTTAAACGTCGGAAATTCCTTGACATTTGGTTCGACGATCATTTATGAAATACTTTATTTTAAATTAAAAAATTTCGGACCAATGTCAATATCGAAGCCACTGTGTACCTACCCCTCGATCTCCTCACGCGGTAACAGTCAGCTGATAACAAGTTGGGGTTAATGTAGGGCTAGGGGAGGGGTCGGTGTGCAGTTGGTCAGAGATCGACATTGATCCCAAATTTCATCATAATTGCGGACTAACGTGACTACACTTGATGTGACTGAACATATTTCAACCTTATTGAAATACATTGAAATACGAATATACAAAAGTACAACAAAGAAGCTTTTAATTGTCAAAATTGCATCGCATTTTCTACGCAAATCGCTATTCACAGCTAAATGACAAAATTACAAAAATACTATTTGCTGAGAGCATTGATTCACAAAATTTCGATACTTTTATAATTCCCAGAGTCATCCAAAAGCATTCTCAACTATTCTTGTCACGAGGCATGATAGTCTTTCAAACTCTTTTTACATTAGAAAATATTGGAAAACTTACAACTCGAAACTGGTGACACAATGGACTCTAATTCATAGAAAGGCTTGATACATGTCTACACACGTTCATTTGACGTTACAAAAATAGCTATATATTACTTGTCGACTCTAAGATGTGCTTTTTTACACAGTAACATAATAAATCTTTTATAAGATTTGTATAATAACAGTTAAAACAAATATATTTCTAGATGCAGAAAAATCTAAAATTGAAAAGCGCAATAAATCTCTCTCCAGGAGAGATGAAGTGTTATACTCGTTCGAACTGGAACTAAGTATTCTTATGGCGATTGTTCACAACAGAATTAACTTGGAAAAAAACTTCTAAAGTGCGAATTCTTTTCACTCAAAGGTTAAAACTCTGATCATAGTTTATCCTCTTTTACACATAACAATGTTATGATATTTCATTCTATAACGCCCAATCCCTGACATAAATGTTATTGTTCGCTGCGCCTTCAGAACCACTTGAAAGGCCATTCCAAGGACCCTTAAAAAAAAGACAAACCACAGTGTAAATGGAATGAATAAATAGATAAGCGCCTACTATCTACAGTCAACCCCATCCCATCCTCAAGAGAAGAAGAGTCACTAAATGTATGAGATACTATACGTTATACGACGTGTTTAATAAATATGACACAACAGTACAGAGTATCAGGTTTACCCTACACCTCTGCGAAGGAAATATCGAGTTTATTACTCGACCAGTTAGGAAATTCTCATATTAGCCTCGGACGAAGAACCTGCTCTTTTTTCTAAACCTTTAATTGGTCAACCATACCGAAGCGAACCTCGCTTTCATTCCGTAACAGAACCAAAACGGATATACGCATTGAAATAAAGAGGTCCAGAAACTAGGCAGCTATCTGTCACAGGATACTTGGAGAGTACTCGACATGGGGAGAGTGAAGACTTGGAATTTTAGGTAGAGTTAATAATCTTAGCTTAGTCGAACAGAGCATGTTAGATTTTAAAATGTAGGGAAAATTGTACAATGTTCTTTTTTTAATTTTACAATTAAATTAATTGCTGTAATTTTTTATATTATAATGGGTTTAAAATATGAAAAGTTTGTTGATAACAGCCGTGATCGTGATCGTGATCGTGATCGTATTTAAAGTTTTATTAACGTTACTTACTTGACACGTAATTGTTAGCTCTCAGTCGAACCGCTGAGATCTTCAAAAGACTTCTGAATTAGTGGAGTAAGAGGAAGAAGAAGTTAAGGGAAGTTTATATCTTAAGTTTTTCAAACGACAATGACATCAACAGCTGGTATTGCTTTTATAAGGTTGGCTTTACTCTATATTATAACATCCTTTTCCAAGAATTCTTAATTTAAAAAGTTTCCAAGAGTAGCACATGATGCACATATATACAAAAACATTTAAAGCTCTCTTAAAGGTCAAAACTTTGAATTACAATCAACTTTTTATACCCACCTTTTGTAAGAAGTTCAGGATTAACCTTTTTCATCTTTTCCTCTCTTTACTGTTAGTTAAGTCTTTTTCATTGTTTTAACAAGAAACCTTTACTTCGCTTACGGGAAAAACTGCTCTAGCAGGGTATGTTTCACGGAGTGTCCAGTATCAAAATCTATTTGCGCATATACTCTCAAGGTAACTTTTTTTCCTCATACTAACCACATTTTCAAGAAATTCATCAAAAACGAGATCATCATACGAAGGTTCCAAGTTTTGGATGGATCCTCTGGCCTGCACAGCCTGGGAATGCTGTTGACCCACTCTCGAAAGCTGTTCCATAGCGCGATTAGCAGCTCCCAGTCCGTTGGCGACCTCACGGAAAGACGCAGATGGTGGAGTTGCCCTTAATCGTCTGCCTGGAATGGTGAAGTCTTCGTCGATTGTTTCAAAAAAATCGGCTCCAGATTTCCGAGTGGGGCGATATTTTTTAACTCTTACAGGAGTACCTCCCGGTAGATCATCATCACGTCGCCTATGAAAAATAGACGGGTAATCATATTAACATCAAATAGAACCGCAAACTGACACCTTTTTTTTTTTTTTTTTTTCCTTAGGGAGGGAGGCGTTACCTTCTTGCTGTAACGGGAAATTAACGAGACTGGTTCCACAAGATCTAAAAAAATGTTCTCAAATAAACAAATAAACAACTTCTCACCTCCTTCGGCAGCAGCAAATCATGACGATCAGTAAAACGAACAACAAGATCCCACAAACTGAGGCAAGGACAATCACTAATAACCACATATTGACTGAAAGAAAGAGTGATGCATAGAATCAACTCATGGCACTCATAAAAACAAAGGTTTTCCATGAGACCTTGTGACTTCTGGAAATAACAGCAGACTTTAAATCATATTCTATCGATGGAACACAAAATTCTACCTGAGCCTACGGGAGGAGAACTGGTCAGCTCTGCTCCTAATTCACATCGGTCGCCATAGAAACCTCGTGGACATCTGAGTTAAAAGAAATAGATTTACAAGCTAAAAAAACGTTACTCTGGCAAAATCGTATCACTTTCATTAAGATAGTATTACGAATTGTTCAGAAATAGAGTTAAAAGGAATCACTACTTTCAGTCAACAGCTTGCGAAAGAGTCTCAATTGAATATGATATTTCATTTCGTGTCTCAAAAGTGCGACGTGGAGTTTCTAGACCAATCACAGACCTTTTTAACGTAAATTCAAAGCCATTTTTGGTTACTTTGTGACCTTAAAATTTGTAAAAAAAGCAGAATCATAGGAATTTATGGTTACATTCTCACGGAGTAGAAAAGGAAACAGATCTTGTATTACTTATTAAAGTTACATGTATTGCAGTCCAACTTCAATATCCATTCAAAATGATATGTTCTTAAACTTGATTTGAAATGAGGCGAGTAATTGATCCAAAAACGCATATCTTGGTGACTGCAGTTTTTCTAAAGGTTATGCCCTGCTCAACTAGTGCCATCCTACCTGCAAATGTTTCCCACTGTCGAAATAATACACGTTCCTCCATTTTCACAGTGATTAGTAGGACATCCCGCTGTAAGGAAAGACGAGAAAGTAATCCTCACTAAGATCTCAGCGAGGCTAAGTTTGAAGGTCAATACAGCTAACAACCAGAGTATAATAATAATTTATTGCACGATTTTAAAAATGTGTGATGTGGAAGAACCTCATTGACTCAAACTTAGTTAAACGTAATTTCCAGAAAATTTACTCAAGAAAAAAACGATTTTTAGTTATCATCTCTCAAACTTCCAGAGATTCCAAATTGTGTTTGGGTCCTTTTGTAAAGTAAAGCTTCAAGGTTTCTACTTCATTTAAAACGTAGCAAGGTACTCAATGGGAAAAAAGATCAATATTACTGTAACTTACAACTCCATGATATACAAAGTATTTACCAAAGCAATATGTTCCATTTCCAAAGTAATTCATTTCTTCGTTACAGATGCATCTAAACGCAGAGCCTGTTAACGAGTAGCACGTGGCATTCGGATGACAGTTGTGGGTTCCCGACGTACAGGTATTGATCACTAAAATTACAAAAAATGAAACCATTATGAGTGAAATTGTTGTATCTGAAAAATTTACATCCCTCATAGATGCGTGGGCATGTCCTTAATATCCAAATTTAACTCAAGAAATGATGAATCAGAGGAATTATTGGTTGAATAAAATAATTACCAATCTAATCAACTACCAGAAAAAGGTTTTTGAAGGTGAAAAAAAGGAATTTGAAACTGTTATCGAGTATCATGAAACTCAAATTTTTCATTTCACTAACCAGTCAAAATAGGTTTGTAAAGACATACATATACAGACAATTTAACTGGGCGTGAAATTGTGCCTAATACAGGCGCCAATGCGACTAAATTTTTCACTTTGGCGACCAAATCCTGAAAATTAGTCGCCAAATTGGCGACCAGAATGTTTCCTCATAACCTTACCTAGAGATATAGTGAATTATTAAGATTTGCAAAGACAAATCCGCGGCAAACTTCCTCGTTAAGTTTGTTTCCAAAACGTAGCACATGCATCTCGATCGATAACTAGACGCCATCTTGGATTTAGGTGAGCTTAAACGTTGCATATCATCCATCCTAGTGTCCACTTTGTGGCAAGTTAAAGATCTTTTCCCTAACTTAATTTCTGGAACGATGACAGCGTAAAAAAGGTTTTGTTTGTCTTTGAAAATGGCGACCAACTTTTTTTGAATTGGCTACCACTTTGAAGAATTTAGGAGCCAAGTGGCTATTAGAAAAAAATTAATTTCACGCCCTGAATTAAAAAGTTATCAAAAAGGAGATTGGCCCGATTAGGGCTTGCATTTCT